CAGTCAACCAATTAGTTGGTTAGTCACTCATTTAGTCAGTTGGTTAATCAGCTAAGGCTCACTGAGGATAGTCGATCAGTCAATAAATCAGTCCACTAAAATGGTATCATGTAGACTGCAGAACTATGCTTATGATTAAAAGCAGAACTTGGCTTTTAAGTACCATTGTGGCACAGCTTGTTCAAAGCAAATCATGCCTTAACTGCATTACGACAAATTACCAGTTGTCAATTTTAAGACTTGATTTAACTGCATGTAATTATTTGAACCTAAAAGGATTTTTAAGCATTAACATATTTTTGAAACACAAAATACAAACGTGAGCAGCATAAATGTACGAATTAAAAAAACATTCAGTGATTTAAATTTGTAGTGTGAATTTGAGAAAAAGAGCCAATTTTTAGTGATCAATGTGGAAACTCATAATCAAATGACCCTTTATGAAACCTTAAATTAATCTTATTCACTTATGCATTTTCCAAAATAACATTAATATAATGTGCATGCCACTTGTGGGAGTTGCAGTTCATTATAACAGTGACGATTGTACACTTGTATAATTTTATTTGAGAGTATTTTGAGCCATAAACACTTTTTTAAGTATCTCGGACTTAAACACAAGAGCTACTACTTAGAAAGAAATGTACACTTTGGCCTCAAACTGTTTGAGAACTTTTAGCTGGTCTTACATGAAGAGTTCAAAGCAAACATTCACTGACTTCAAAAAATTAATTAAAAACAAAAAATAATGTTTTATACTCTTCCTTTGAGCCTTAAAATTTTTTTGAATCTCTGATTTCTTAGTTGTAAACAAGAAACAGCTTGCCAAATATTAAAATCAAGAAAAATTCAAGTCACCTAAGTAGAGTGTAAGTGTTTTTTCCTTCATTACTGCATCTCTCATTTTCAAAATAAATCAATTCCAAAGAGTTTTGAACTTTTAGTTTTAATTAGGCACGGTATGTGCCACTAAAAGCTAGTGAATCTGCATCTCAATCTTACTTTGAACAAGCTGTACCAGAAGTTTTATCTGGTTCACTCAAGAGCTGGATTACAAAGCAATATATACAGCATTTATGGCACTGAAGATAACCTCTAAATCCAGTGGCTATTAAAGTCTTGTCACATCTGCTGGACACATCTCACCTGAAATGAAAAATTAGTCATTTCATCAGCAATCAGTAATTCTGATTAACATCATGGAGGACATTAAAATTAATTTATCTTCTTAGCATGAATCTCCAGTATGTCAACCAGCGAGTCAAGCCAATAAAACATTTTTAAGTCTTACACACGCGTTATTGTTGGAATGAACTGTACACTTTGGCTTCAAACTTTTATAGACCTTTTTACATATAGCTGTCTTTCATGAAAATATCAAAACAAACATTCATTTGATTTCAATAAAATGCATCTAAAAATATGAGCGTTGTTTTTAACAAACTGTTCAATATTCTTATTTCTTCTGTTCTAATAAATCCCTAGCCCATGAGGGCTAAAAAAAAAATACCATTCCACTTCCTACTTGGCTTAGGATTTGGAAGTCAATTGTACAATCTACTTCCACAATATGGCTAGCCTGCAGAGCATGCATATTTTGCAGCACGATCCATGATTTTTTTGGGAATAATGCTATCCCGCCAGCTTGGACATTTATGCTACCAGAGAGTTGGGATGAGTCAAAATATGATTCCAAGGGAGAGACTTAACACACGCTCTGCACCTATGCAGCAAGTCTTTATTTACATCAGAAACTTAAGCTGTAGAAACAAACTGCTGATAAAGTGTTTTAGAAAAATAACTTTCCAAGTTAAAAAGTTGTGGAAAAGCTACTTTTCAACTAAACTAACCGGTCTAGGGAATGGTACATGTAGAAGCATATTTTTACCATCCGAGCCTAAGGTTTCACTAGTATCGGGCTAGTGGACTAGCGCTGGTGTCGAGCAGTCTGTTCCTGTTATACAAGTAAGCCCTCTCGGGTATAAAACCCTCTGTTTATGAGCCCTCTTGAAATCCCTTACTTGTAAACAATGCTTAATAATAATTTGTTATTGTTATAAGTGGCAGTTTGAGGTACGCACAGAACCTTAAAGGAGAAGGGAAAGTGGTATATAAAGGAACAAAGATTTGTCTAATTAATAACAATAATATTTTGAGAAACATAAACATGTGAAACGTATTGAGACAAAGTTTCGACGTTTCAGCGATGTCATGATGCCATTATCAAGGAATAGAAGTAAAATCATTTTACTTCTATTCCTTGATAATGGCGTCATAATGTCTCCGAAACGTCGGAACTTTGTCTCGCTACTTTTTACATGTTTAAAGATTTGTTTCAAGCATTATAAGATATTGGATAAATTTTGTGACTTGGAATTATCTTTTGACCATAAAACAATGAAAGGACAGGTTTCTTTGGAGGGAGTGAGAGGGGGGTCAAGACACCCCTTGGTAGATACCCATTTAAAAAGTAAGAAGGGGTTCTTCTCCAAGGGCAGCATTTTTTTTGGAGGGGGAAGGTACTGCTTATAGAGTTGTGTCCCACTAATACCTGGAGAAGAGGCCTAATGAAGCAGCTCTTTGCTTTAGATTTTTTATCTCAGACAGAGTCCCTACAATTAACCATGGCAGGAAATTTCACCTACCAGTATCTCTGACAAATTGGCCCAGATGAAAAAATCACAAAACGTTTCAAGGAACAGAAAAATCAGTAAAATTCCTGTGTTGTTCTTCTCGTCGATCGCTTCCCCAAAAAATTTAATACCATCAATTCATCCCCGGTCAGAGGCCTGGCTACCAAGAACACGAATAAAATATTTGCTACATAACACTTTTAATTACATGTATTATACTACTACATGAGAAATTTCTGCAATCTGATTGGCTTAGAGCAGTGGTATTTCAGCTTAATTTGAAATACCTACGTGTGAAAATTACAAAGCTTTTGCGGGTAGTAGTATAAACAAATAATAGCATGATATGTATGTGATATTTGGCATAAATACCACTCGTGATATTTCAACATTGTCTCAAATTTCACTCGCCTAACGGCTCGTGAAATTACGTATAACAATTTCGAAATATCACTCGTGGTATTTATGTAATATATCACTACAAATCATGCTATTACCTATACTAAGAATTTTATAAAGCCAATTTGCAAATAAAGCCTTTAAAGACGATTAGATACGCAACGATTTGCCCTTAAAATCAAAGCGTTTAGGCTTTCAGAGGGGGAGGTTACAGCAGGCTGGTGAGAGTCACGATCTCACCAAATTTTAGGTAAATCATTACCACAAGCATTTCTAAAACTTCTTAAAACGATACCTTCTACGGTTCTTAGTACTTTATCCGCCTATAATCGCTACTAACCTTGCAAAAAAAGATGAAGAACGAGAGAAAAACCAACCATGCCTTCTGCTTAGCCTTCTGCATTGCTTTCCGCGCGCCATCTTTTATTTAGCTCCCAGGGTCCCAAATCGTCCACATACCGCGCGGAAGCCTGGCACTACCGGATTTTCACGGACTTTTTAAAGGATTCAACAGAGGGTAAAGCAGAGGTCATTGCGTGCACTTGAAACGATATTAAGGGCCAGATTACTCCAGAAAGTCAATATTCTACAGCAAAGAACAGTTATATTACTGCTATGAAGAACTTCGATTTAAAACCTTGAGAAAAGAAAGTTCGGAGACTTTCGCTACTTGGAAGTATTGGAGGGATTCCCGAATTGTTCGACAAAAAATTTGAAAAAAAGAACCGTCGCATTTAGCTTTTTTACGGCGCTGGATCCGACCGAATATTGGGGAATGATAAGAGAGTGGGTGTACCTGTTTTAACAAACCGTAAAATAAAGACCACAGGCAGACCACCCTCTGTTGGTGGGGGCCGTTGTTGATCGAAATCTGAGCAACGATCTTTTGTTATTTATAGAAGAAAATGCATATGAACAATACGGTGGCTATAATTTGTTCCAAAATGCCGAATTTAAAGCAAATTTTTCAATAAAAGTTTGAAGAAAATGTTAACTGAGTCATGTGTCATGTTTTCTTTGGATGGAATATTTTGAAGGAATAATAAGGAGTACTCTGTATCCACCCACTAACCACCCCTTTCCAGCCTCAGGATGGCTGTTACTGGGCAGAATTGTATGAAAAAACATTTATTTCAGTTTTTTTTATTCGAAATGAACTAATAGGCTTGGGCCTCGGACGTTTCAAATTATTTAGAAATTAATGCTTTATTAACCATTAACCTGTTTTCATTATTAAGCCCGTGCAAAGATCTTGTTCTTTGCCGAAACAGAACTCCACATTTACAGTTTTTATAACTAATAGAAATACTGGTTTTATTTGTAAGTCCACATCTAGGTAGTAATCGTACACTAAGCATTCACAAAAACCGTCGCGTGATAAACTAAGACTATTGCAGACTACTATTGTTAGCACTTTTCTGCAGGGAGGGGTTTCGGAGATTCAATCTTCAGGAGCGGACCAATACTCACGGTCTTGAAGTAACTAGATAGTCACGGAATAACGGAAGGCACTGAACAAAGGTTTTCAAAACTACTTATATATATTAATTGCCATATTTACACTCCGGCCTCTATCGCAAGAAATTAAATCTGTGTACGAGATGACACAGTGGGTGAACAACACACAGTCATTTCTGGAGTGTTGGCAGTCTGTTACATTTTCATGCAAGGTTAAAAGTTGTTTAAGCCTATATGATTTTGAGAGTCCATCAGTGCATCCCTTACTTATTTACAGGGTACTTAAAAGGCATTTAGAGTCTTAGGGCTGGTTGTTAAAACGAAGTCTAACGGGATTTAAGAAATCTTTAGACCTTCACATCTCAGCTGGGGCCAAAAATTGGGGGGCGGGGCGGGCCTCCTCTAGATCATTCACTGCTATATGCTTTAATGAAACTGTTCACGACAAATGGTGTTTAGCTAAAAGGTTAACATTGGGCAATTTATAGAAATACACACTGTCACACTGTTTTATAATTGTGACCCAAGCCACCACTGTGTAGTAGACGATGAGTTTACCGTGCACCTATGTTTTGGATTCGTAACAGCATAAAAACCGAAATTATCTTCTCCTGATATTGCTCCCGCCCCGGGATTCCACTGACAGCCATTTCTTCCGCTCCAGGAGGAATCTGTATGCATGTGTTGACTGTCTCTTTGAACCAACATTCCTTTACAATCCGTACAGTTTATTCCTCGCACTGAAACATATTCATACCTCTGGCATTTGTCCTGATTGACAAACGTTAGGAGATCTGTTTCATTCAGCGAAGAGCGTGCGTAGTCGGCATAACTGAGGCCTGATGGGAAGGTACATGTCACGCGCCAGTGCGTTGAGATATCCCGGATGTTAACCAAGGCTTGGTATGAAACCCTAAAGTCGTCCCATGTGAAGTTGTTCTCGTTTCGAGGAAAGTCGTGATAAAATGGTTTGTTCTTATATATGTCTTTGTTTGAAAGCGAAAACGATTCTATGAGCGTCCAAGCTTTACCAGCCTCGGAGGTAAAGTCACAATAACTCTGCACAGTTTTATTATCACTTATAACAAGTTCGTAAACACCGGAACGCGATCCCGGCCTAAATATCTTGACACCTAGGCACGACTTGACTTGTGGATAAAACTGCTCACATCGTTTTCCCTTGTAATATTTTGAGCATGTACAAGTATAAGGTTCTCTGACGTCACTGCATTTTTCCTCACAGGTTCCGCCGTTAAGACAGGGCTTTGATCTGCAGCATCCGTTAACACAGCTTTGGTTCACCTAGCAATATAATTAAGATAATAATAATTAAAGTGTTGTCATACAGGATACCTTTTCGCATGTACGAATTAAGTTTTAGTTGTAAACGCAAATTTGTCTTCTTACACCTAACTTTTTGCACTCAAATTTAGCGAGCGATTCCTTTAATCAACCGATCTCCCGATCATTCCTCGGATAAAGTCATCCAGAAACATAACGTGGCTGATTCGTTGTGAGTATCTAAATTCCACAAAACAATGACTGATTTTGCTAACAATATTGCGTTTGCAGCAGGAAGAATTTAGTGAGAATTCCTCTTTTAATCAGCGTCTGTTACATCAAATTTTGCTTCCTTTAGCGACGGAGCGCAATAAAGCCATGCTGTTGTCATAAAATGGAATTTAATTTATAATCACAAAACACAGAATACCTTTGCATGTCACCAAACTGAAAGCTACAATTCTTTAGCCTGCGCAGCTGGCGGTATTGTGTGATTAAAGTTTTGGCGGCGGAGCCGCGATCCAGAAAAAGGAGTGGGGACGAGGCGTTTCTCGCGGCTTCGTCGCTTGTGGAGGCTCCGCCGCCAAATCTCACTTAACTAGTACACAATACCGCCAGCTACGCAGGCTACAAATCTTAAGTCTGGCGATGGGCTCGGGGCAGTAAAAACCATTAGGTTGTCACACCAACCGTAAAAATTAAAACAAACAAATAAATAAATGAATAAAAATAAGTAAATGAATAAAATACAGATATATCAATATATAAAATAATGATATGAAATTTAAATGAAGAAATCTATATAAACTATATATAACTATTATTTAAGAAAAGCTGTTAACCTATATTTAAGTTTCTAAGGAGGATGATGAAACAATGGCCTCAGGGAGGCAGTTCCAGTCCGCTATAGTTTTTGGAAAAAACGAAAATTTAAAAACGTCTTCATTTAATAATAATAATGGAATTTATATAGCGCTTATACATCGCTGTTCCAAGCGCTGTATTTGTATATGGCACGCGAAATTTAAATTGATATCTTCCCCTCGTGCGACCCTCGGAGTGATGAATTAAATATTTTCGGGTATCTATATCAATAAGACCATGAGTTAGTTTATACATAAGTGTTAATCTAGACTGCCTTCTTCTCGTTTCCAACGTGGCCCACCCTAAGTCTTTAATCATGTCCGTGACACTGGCATATCTATCATAATTCTGTGAGCAGAACAGTGCTGCTTTACGTTGAACCCTTTCCAGAGCACTGATATCTTTCTTTAAAAACGGGTCCCAAGCCGCACTTGCGTATCCCAGCTTCAGTCGTACTAGGGATGTATATGCAATTTCTTTTACGTTCTTTGGACAATTCCAAAGGTTGCGTTGTATTGTACCCAGCGACTTGTTTGCTTTAGCTGCTGTCAAGGAAACATGGGCTGACCACTTGAGCTTGTTACTGATGGTAACCCCAAGGTATGGGAAGCTATCAACCTGTTCCAACTCTCCACCACAGAAGACATATTTTCTCTGGGGTGGATTGTTCTTATGTGAGATGGTAACAATTTTGCATTTGGAAGGATTAAACTCCATTTGCCAATGATACTGCCAGGATTCAAGCCTGCGTAGGTCAGATTGAAGAAGGTCACAGTCCACATCGCGAGCGACAATGCCGTAAAGTAAAGCATCGTCCGCAAAGACCCTAACTGATGGTTGCGCGTTATCTGCTAAGTCTACTTGTTTTTCAATCAATGACACAATCTTACCTGTGTACTTTCCTGATTCATAGTGTATAAAGCAGTGCCTGGTCTAGTTACCAGCTCCCCAATCACGACATCTTTATCTGCATCCAATAATTCACATTTCCACCCAGTCAACTGAAATGCAACGCAACCACAAACCTTTGCGCAATGGCGGAAGCAGTCAACTTGACTTGATACATTCATAGAACGAATAGTGTGCCCTAATATGGCGACGTTATCCGTAAATATGTTGTACATGTACAGTAGCTGTGTTGCATGTTGATTGTCCTTTGCTCTCATAGAACGTGAAAGGAGAAGAGTTCCCCATATGACGAACAACAGAGACCCAATGCTTGAAGCCATTTTTGACTGAAAGAAGAAAGAATTAGACTTGTAAACACGACAACTAATACCTGGATATTTAAGTGGCGCACGAGGTTTTACGGACTGGAATTAGTAAACCAAGGAACGCTCTGTCAAAGAAGTGACACTTTGTAAATCTGAAAAAAAAATAAACCAGAAAGATTTAATTCTGAATTTCAAGCAATAAGGAGTGATCAGCAGCTATTTCGTGTCTGAACCTCGGCCTTATAACCGCTGTCAACGTCAAATATCCTGTCATAATTGGTGGAAAGAACTCATACAACTACAAAACTCCAGATTTTTTAAAGCTTCTAGTAATAAAGCAAAATCGGCAAATAATAGAAAAAAACCACTAGCCATGTCGCAGGTCGCGTTAGAAACTAGATTATTATTCTTGTTGGAGAGATATGTTTGATTTATTCTGATGTCTTATAATTTCAAAATGACTTACGTTAATAATCTTAAAAAAAAAAAGTTAATTGCTTATGAAGCGGCAACCTCGTCGCCAGGGTTTTTCCCTTAAAAAAATGGGTGGGGCGGGAAAAGCCCCTGGCATCGGCTGGTCAGGCGTCCCCTCGTGCACCCTAAAATCCTAGGTGTAATAAAAAAGCGCTATGTGAAAAGTAGACTACGAGTAGTCCCCCATTTTCCCTCAGGGATAGTAGAGCGAGCGAAACGCGAGCGCGTGTGAAAATCACCCCACGCGAGAAAAGGCGACGCGCGGCGGGGAGAGAGAATGTCTATGTGAAAAGCGAAAATTATGGGTAACCTCACAGCGCGCGATCTTGGGCGGCCTTTTATACCTCTTGACGATTAACGAAAAGTTTTACAAGATTTCCTTTCTGTCCCAGATACTGGCCATGGTACGTATGTACTGAAAAAGTCCGCTTTCTCGGCTCTTCTGATATTTTATTTCATTTCTTGCAAAGTGGGCCGCCGTACACAGCCTAGTTCTATTCACCTCAACTCTCAGCCATATCGTAGCGACACGCGTTGGTTTAGACTTATCCTGTACGACTTGTTAACCTACTACATATGTATAGGAAATGAAATTCTCGGTTTGTAGAATATACAAAGTGACTTTATGGCTAAATTTTTCTTATAACTGTATAGCAAATTTATTGCAAATTTTGCATTTATATATACACTCTCGAATTCATTCGAGCTACTAGTCGATAACAGCTTGTCTCAACTCTGAAGCATTTGACTTATCTGGTACGTGACAACGTAGAGCTGGTACGCCCTTTTATAAACTTGTAGTATTTGAATAATGAACAATTAAATGGATCTTTAAAAGCTTTTGAATCTCACACACGCGAATTTATTGACATAGTTGGAGGTTTTATTATTTTCCATTGTTAATCAATTCGACTTCTGTCAGCGCAAAACCAGTGGGTTGCATATAAACTAGTAATAGTTGACACTACAGCTGCCCCCGCTCCGTGTATTGTCGGTCAATAGCATTCTTGCTCGTTGTGTAGCTCTTTGAAATATACCGATTCACAAGGAAGATTTTCACACATTTTCCATACAATAGGTGAGATAAATACAGGAAACGCAAGGTTCCATGCACAGTTACAGGTTGATTTACACAGCTTTGATCAAAACATTCTCAGTCTCGAGAGTAGTTTATTCTAAACCATAAGAAAAGATTTAATTAGAAGCTGAATTTTTCGCTATTTCTCTTTCACTTTTTACATTCAGTTCATTTTATTTGCCGGAAAGGAAGCCTTAGAAATTGAAAGGACGTTTGATCAATTCACACTCGCGCATTCTAGTCTTATTTTATACTTTATAGCGGAAGTACATCTGTGAGCAGGGAATAAGTCAGCACAGAATTTTATTGTCAGCGAATTTCTGTAATCGTCCATCGTTCTGCTTGTGAGAACCTAGCCGTTGTTCACTCGTCTTGCTTGTTTGGGGCTGAGCCTTATTCCGGTCAAAGAGAGAGAAAGAGTGTCTGGCAAGGTTTCCAATGAAAGATTTGTGAACTCGTGTCTGGCAAACTCTCCAGGTGTTTATATATACACAGTTATACGCACCTTATAACTTCTTCTGCGCCTAACGAGTGTCGTTAAAATTTTGGTCCATAACTTTCACTGAAACAACTGCTCCACAGAATGTCACTGATAACACGTAACGCAAAAGAGTGTCGAAGTATGAATGCACAATAAATGACACAAAATCTACTAAAGCGTTCCCTTGGGGATGTTCTGTCTTTACGTCATCCTAACCATTTCGTACTTGCGGGCGCAAACAATAGACCTACCGATTCCTCGCGGCCCCTGTTCAAGCAAATCGAGATTTTTTCTTTATTGACTGTATGACTGTATGTTTCAACTGTAATTACTTTCCTTAATATACGCGCGAGTTACTAGAGTGCCTCCTCGGGATCTCGCCTTCTGGGCGAAATCTCTGCGGGGGGGTATGAGCTCATGTCTCATCCCGCGAAAATGTAGTCTCTGCTCTCAGGGTAGGCCGACATCGGAAATATTCTCTAAAACATCCAATATGGTGGCTCAAGTGTGGTGAAAACTGACTGCCAAAGGAGCTGTTTTATCGCCAGAGAAGCGTGATTTACGGTATTGTTGACGAAGTTTTCGTTTATTGTGACTTTTGCAGAGTTCTTGGTCCTGTATAGTAAGCAATCCTTTAATAAATGTCTTATCAATTTGTCTTGTCCCGCTGGCCGGTATTACCGAAGAAAATAGTACCGTCCAAGGGGACTTTCTAAATTATAGCAACATTTGTTGGCATGTACATCACCTCTAGCTTTCATTGCTAAACTGTGTTGTAGAGCTTGATTTCTGTAGGTTTCTAAAACACGCTTCTCTGGCGATAAAACGGCTCCTTTGGCTGTCAGTTTTCACCACACTTGAGCCGCCATATTGGATGTTTTGGAGAATTTCCGATGTCGGCCCGAATCGGAAACTCGTTCCTAGTACCCCTCGGCTGTCCTTTTAGGCACAACCCCCACATCGTCAACAATGCGCGGCCACCTTGCTCTTTGCTGAAATGTATGTCCCCGGTAGATGCATGTGTCTGCTACTTAAAAAAAACATAGACTTTCTACTTTTCTACGACTTTGTCCCTGAGATCTACAAAAAAAAAACAACGACAACAACAACACAGAAATAAATGGGATGAAATTTAAGCGGGGTTGTTTTGACAAAATAGACTGAAACACATGGATGCCGGATTGGGATGTAAATGAAAACAAACGGTTGGAAATAGGTAGCACTGGCTCATTCTCAGGTGTTTTAATTTTTTCTTTTTTTATTTTTTCTCTCTTTTTTTGGCTTTATTTAAAATTGTGAATTAGTTGCGTCAATGACGGTAAAAGACCTTTTTTTTTTCTTATTATTATTATTATTTTGCCTTGGCAACTGAGGCAAACTATTAAAAGACGCTATCGCAGGTTTTTGTCAAAAATACAAACTGTTTGTAAAGCAACTGTGTCTTTTGGGCAAATCAAGCCAGAAAAGATCGTTTTTTGGATTTTTGGATTGAAAAGAACGATTTTAGACCAGAAAAGTAAAGTTTTAATAAAAGTACAAATAATCGAAGTTTTCCCAAGGGATTAGTCCAAGCTTTTTGTCAAAAATTTGAACTTTTTATCAAATTTTTTGGGGGGCAAATCAAGCCAGAAAAGGTCGTTTTTGGATAGTCTGGATAGAGAGCACACGTTTTAGACTTGAAAAGTGAATCTTTAAAAAAGTCTAAAAAATCGAAATATTTCCAAGGGGTAAGTCCACGCTTTTTGTCAAAAATTCGAACTTTGAATCATATGAGTGTTTTGGGCAAATCAAGCCAGAAAAGATCGTTTTAAGTCATATTGGATAAAATACAATGCTGATTAGACCAGAAAATTAAGTCTTAAAAAAGTCCAAATAATTGAAATTTTCCCAAGGGGTTAGTCCATGGTTTTAGTCAAAAATTCGAACTTTTTATCAACTGTGTCTTTTGGACAAATCAAGCCAGAACAGATCGTTTTTGGAAAGTCTGGATATATAACAACGTTTTTAAGACCAGAAAAGTGAAGTTTTTAAAAAGCCCCAAAAATGAAACCTACAAAGGGGTTAATTAGTTCATTGTCTTTGTCAAAAATTCCATCTTTTTATCAACTATGTTTTTTTGCTCATCAAACCAGAAACGATCCTTTTTGGATGTTTTGGACAGAAAAGAACGCTTTTAGACTGTACTAGAAAAGTAAAGTTTTAAAAAAATCCAATAAATTGAAATTTTCACAAAGGGTTAGTCCATGCTTTTTGTCAAAAAATCGAAATTTTTATTAACTGTGTTTTGGGGCAAATGAAGCCTGAAAAGATCGTTTTTTGATAGTCTGGATTAAAGACAATGCTTTTTAGACCAGAACTGAAGTTTTAAAAGTGAAGTTTTAAAATCCAAGAATCCAAATTTTCCGAAGAGATTAGTCCACTGTTTTTGTCAAAAAATTGAACTTTTTTCATCTCTGTGTTTTGGTCGAATAAGCCGGTAAAGATTGTTTTTGGATATTTTTGGATAGAAGAGAAAAATCCAAAGAATCGAAATTTTCCCAAGGTGTGAGTCCTTTCTTTTTGCCAGATGACTTGCTTATGCATAAGGGCAAAATGGACTGTATCCTACTTGGCACTGGTCCCAGGCTAGCTCTTTCTCCTTCTTTTTCTGTAACTATTGATGGAAAAGTACTTAATCGCGCTTCTGAGAATAAATATCTTTGGAATGTTCTCGCTCCGTGGCTTACGTGGAATGTGCACGTTGATCACTTAGTCGGTAACGTTAGGCAGCGAGTAGCATTGTTAGGCCCAATAATGAAAAACATAAACATGTACGGACAGGTACCGTTTATACGTCTTTTGTTCTCCCTATTCTTGATTACTGCGACGCTGTGTGTAGCTACTGCAGAAGTGTTAACGCTGATAGGTTAGAGAAATTGCAAAGCTAGGCGCGGAGCACGTTATGTGTCTGGGGACCAGCGAAAAAGAGCTAACTTTCCTGCGTTACGTAGCTCTGGATAAAAGACGTGAGAGCCATGTACGCAATCTAGTTGAGAAATGCTTACGTAATCATAACCATTATCCACAGTTTTTATGCACTATTTTAAATATAACAGGGGAAGTATTGCCCAGAAGAAGAAGCAGTGCTTAACTTAGACTCCAGTCTATAAAGCTAGAATGTAGAAAAAAAAAGAATTTTTCATCATGGTTGCGTAATTTTTATTCAGATTGAGATTTTTATGATTTTTCTCGTAATTTGATTTTCGAGTCTTTCAAATTGCTCTTTCTATTTTTATGTGCCTGTACTTAATTATCACCATTATTTCTATTACATTTCGTTTATCACTTAGGGCGTCTATGGAAAGGATTTTTAATACTGTGCAAAAACTGAAGGAGTTGCCCTACGGAAATAAAGATTTCTATCTATCTTACCTGTACGTGTAAAACAAGTGAAATGCTCCGCCACTTTGTATTCACTACTAAAACAACTCGAACTCATCTTCAGGTCTTTTCGGTTACCCGTTTGATTATCTGGCAATTTTGCTGCACGACTGACATCATCATTAGTTCTCATTTTTGCAAAATTCTTCTAAATTCGGTTGATGGTTTTATGATAAAATACTCTGAGGATCAGTTTTAGCCAATCAGAAACGGACGAATATTTTGAAGGAATAATAAGGGGTACTATCCACCCAGTACCCACCCCTTTCCAGCCTCAGGATGGCTGTTATTGGGCAGAAAGGTATGAAAAAACATTTATTTCAGTTTTTTTGTTCGAAATAAACTAATAGGGTTGGGCTTCGGACGTTTTAAATAATTTAGAAATTAATGCTTTATTAACCATTAACCTGTTTTCATTGTTAAGCCCATGCCAAGATCCTGTTCTTTGCCGAAACAGAACTCCATATTTACCATTTTTATAACTAATAGAAATACTGGTTTTATTTGTAAGTCCACATCTAGGTAGTAATCGTACACTAAGCATTCACAAAAACCGTCGCGTGTTAAACTAAGACCATTGCAGTCTACTATTGTTAGCACTTTTCTGCAGGGAGGGGTTTCGGAGCTTCAATCTATTGGAGCGGACCAATACTCACGGTCTTGAAGTAGCTAGATAGCCACGGAAGAAATGGTAGGCACTAAACAAAGGTTCTCAATACTACTTTATTGCCATATTTACACTCCGGCCTCTATCGCAAGAAATCTGTATACGAGATGACACAGTGGGTGAACAACACACAGTCATTTCTTGAGTATTGGAAGTCTGTTACATTTTATGCAAGGTTAAAAGTTGTTTAAGGCTATATGATTTTGAGAGTCCATCAATGCACTCTTACTTATTTACAGGGTACTTAAAACGCATTTTGAGTATTAGGGCCAAGTCTGACGGGGTTTAAGAAATCTTTGGACCTTCAGATCTCCAAAAATAAGGGGGATGGGGGAGTGGGGGGATATGCTTTAATGAAACTGTTCACGACAAATGGTGTTCAGCTAAAAGGTTAGCGTTGGACAAACTGAAAATGACTTAGAGCGCGGTTTTGTTAAACAGTGGTTAAACCCCGTTTACATAACCGGCCCCTAGCATTTGGAATCTTCGGAATTGACCTGACTTGCTCACTTATTTTGCAATTTATATAAATACACAATGTCAACTTGCGAGTTTTATAATTCTGACCCAAGCCACCACTGTGTAGTAGACGAAGCGTTTACCGTGCACCTGTGTTTTGGATTGGTAACAGCATACAAACCAAAATTATCTTCTCCTGATATTGCTCCCGCCCCGGGGTTCCACTGACAGCCATTTATTCCGCTCCAGTAAGAATCTGTATGCATGTGTTGACTGTCTCTTTGAACCAACATCCCTTTACAGTCCGTACAGTTTATTCCTCGCACTGAAACATATTCATACCTCTTGCATTTGTCCTGATTGACAAACGTTAGGAGGTCTGTTTCATTGAGCGAAGAGCGTGCGTAGTCGGCATAACTGAGGCCTGATGGGAAGGTACAGGTCACGCGCCAGTGCGTTGAGTTATTCCGGATATTAACCAAGGCTTGGTATGAAACCCTAAAGTCGTCCCATGTGAAGTTGTTCTCGTTTCGAGGAAAATCGTGATAAAATGGTTTGTTCTTATATACGCCTTTGTTTGAAAGCGAAAAGGATTCTATGAGCGTCCAAGCCTTACCAGCCTCCGAGGTAAAGTCACAATAACTCTGCACAGTTTTATTATCACTTATAACAAGTTCGTAAACACCGGAATGCGATCCCGGCCTAAATATCTTGACACCTTGGCACGACTTGACTTGTGGATAAAACTGCTCGCATCGTTTTCCCTTGTAATATTTTGAGCATGTGCAAGTATAAGGTTCTCTGACGTCACTGCATTTTTCCTCACAGGTTCCGCCGTTAAGACAGGGCTTTGATCTGCAGCATTCGTTAACACAGCTTTGGTTCACCTGGCAATATAATTAAAATAATAATAATTAAAGTGTAGTCATACAGGATACCTTTTCGCATGTACGAATTAAGTTTTAGTTGTGGACGCAAATTTGTCTTCTTACACCTAACGTTTTGCACTCAAATTTAGCGAGCGATTCCGACCATCCCTTGGCCACAAAATCATCAAGAAACATAACCTGGCTGATTCGTTGTGAATATTAAACTTCTACAAAACAATGACTGATCTTGCTAACAATTTTGAGTTTTGCAGCAGAAAGAGTTTAGGGAGAATTTCTCTTTTAATCAGCGTCTGTTACATCAAATTTTTACTTCCTTTAGCGACGGAGCGCAATAAAGCCGTGCTGTTGTCATAAAATCGAATCTAGTTTATAATCACAAAACACAAAATACCATTGCATGTCACCAAACTCAAAGCTACAAATCGTAAGTCTGGCGATGGGCTTGGGGCACTTTTTAACTTATGATATTGAACATGTAAATATAGGTATGTATTTTTACTTGTGTATTCAATATTTATTTATAGTTCATTACTCCCTAGTAGCTCTACAACTTGTTTTCCTATCAATGACACAACCTTACCTTTATACTATCCTGATTCATAGTGTACAAAGCAGTGCCTGGTCTAGTTACCAGGTTCCCAATCACGACATCTTTATCTGCATCCAATAATTCACATTTCCACCCAGTCAACTGAAATGCAACGCAACCACAAACCTTTGCACAATGGCGGAAGCAATCAACTTGACTTGATACATTCACAGAACGAATAGTGTGCCCTAATATGGCGACGTTATCCGTGAATATGTTGTACATGTACAGTAGCTGTGTTGCATGTTGATTGTCCTTTGCTCTCATAGAACGTGAAAGGAGAAGAGTTCCCCATATGACCAAAAATAGAGACCCAGTGCTTGAAGCCATTTTTGACTGAAAGAAGAAAGAATCAGACTGGAAACGCGACAACTAATACCTGGATATTTAAGTGGCGCATCAGGTTTTACGGACTGGAAGTAGTAAACCAAGGAAGGCTCTGTCGATCAAAGAAATGACACTTTGTAAATCTTACAACACAAAATAAATCAGAAAGATTTAATTCTGAATTTCAAGTAAGAACGAGTTATCACTGGCTATGTGTTGTCTGAACCTGGGACTTATAACTACCGTCTTGATTTACCTTAACCTCTAAACGTCAAATATCCCGTCAAAACTGGTGGAAAGAATGACTCATACAACTACAAAAATCCAGTTTTTTAAAAGCTTCTATTAATAAAACGAAAACGGCCAAGACTAAAAAAAAAAGAAAAAACCTAGCGATGTCGCCCGTTGTGTTAGAAACTAGATGATTATTCCCGTTGGAGAGATATGTTTGACTTATTCTGATGTCTTATATATTCAAAATGACTCACGTTATTATTCTCGAAAAAAAAAGGGTGATTGCTTATGAATTGTTTTGTTTCCAAATTTTTCTTTTCTTCATCACTTCTTTCCTTTTGGGTCTTTATCTTTATTATGCAACAAGTTATCATCCTGGTTTGATCGGTTGGAACGATCTCGTGACGGTTTTGACAAAATGATTTCGAAAGAAGTGATTTTTTAACGAAAGACTAATTTATTACCTATGAGGCATTAAAAAAGCATGAGCCAATGTCCAAACGCCACTTCTTTTCGCAACAGGGTGCAAATTTTACATCAGTGGGAAAAACAAAGTGATTGCCAAAACAAGCTAAGGGAGGCAATTCTCGTGAATGGAGAAACCAGGGTTGCGGTAAACAGTATCAGTAAAGGGGAAAAAGTCGCAATATTATACCAGTTCTGTGTCACTATAGAAAGGATCTTCTGTTCTTGGATAAGGTTCAAACAAGCGGAAGCGGTGGAGCAATAGGAAACTCCAAAGCAAACGCTTTAACCACAGGCATTGAAGACGATTCAAATGTATTGCAGAACTTGAAATTGGAACTGCGGATAACTATGCCTACAGACGGTAATAAGGCAAATTGACATTGACACTAGAACACCCTTAAAAACAAGCCTAGCATTTTCATGTCATAATGAATGTGATTAACTTACAGAATTCAACTGGGGAACTCTGCTCAATCATCAACCCATGGCCACTCCGCAAAAAGTAAAAAGAGATATTCCGAAATATTTTTCTATTTCAAATAACGACGTTAATTACCCTATTTGTTATGACAGACCAGCCTTTTCTATTCTCTGATTCTAATTTTGAAGCTTCCTGTGTGCACGTCGATCTTTCAAAGACCGCAACATGAATAATAATCTTTACAAACGGCCTATACACGTTCGCGACTTTGTTTATTGAAAAATTGTTTAAGCGAAAACGTAACACGCAAAACGTTAAAGGGAGTGTGTATATCTTACCTCTGACCTTGAAACAGCGGCTTTTCAACGAGTCTCAGTTGTTCGTGTGCAAATAAACTTCATGTCCTCTGCAACCTATACAAGTCAGTCGATGATTGTTTTTTGTGCTGGATTTAAGGAAAGACCGCCGCGTCATGAAGACAAATTTACTTGTTGTTGTTGTTTTTTTCTCAAGACACAGCTCATGACTTCTTCATAAAACGAAAACTAGGAACAGCCAAACTTTCGGTTTACGTCTCTTGCACATAAATGATAAATGAATTCATACATGATACTTTTCAATAGCGTTCAAATGAGGGGGCAGGTGTTTGGGTCTGTTTGTTTCGGTTTCAAAAAATGCAGGTGTTAAACATAGTTAAAAATTAACACCGACAAAAACAAAAATCGGCTCAAGGCAAAGGCAAGCAAATGTCGAGTGAGCACGATTTTTCTGTGTCAACAGTGTTGGCCATATCGTGTAATCCTTATTTTATTGCTCAGTTTCCTTTTTAACATCTTTCCCCGCCCTCTTTTAATTTTTCTTTTGAAATACGACGCGGGATATATCATATAGCGTATGCTGACCACTGTACTGCTAAATTTGAAAATGTAGTGCTAAAGATGAAACAGCCTTAGAGCAAGTGACCACAGTCTGGCCATATTTCTGGCCAGTATTTCGAGCTTGCACCCAGTTCCATCTGTCGGGCAGCAGGAGGGCAGCTCTGTTTCGTCACCAGACAGCTTTTTTAGATATCAAAGTCAATTTTCATTTGGCATGGTACTTTTCCTATAAGAATCCTATGTTAATAATGCAAAACGAAAAACAATGATACGCAATAGTGACACGCAATGGTCCAGTTTCGAATAAAAAATTAACGCTGAATACAGTAAAATATTCAGAAATTCCGGCAAGTAAGTGTTTGAAATTTGAATATACACAATAGACAGAGTAATAAACAGGTCTTTTTCTCGTTGGAATTTGTGAATATATTACTTCAGATGGGGACTGAGCCTGTAAAAAATTCGTCGTCACTTCTTTAATTCAGCGGTCATAGCGAACTCGAAACTGGACTATTGGACAGGTAGGAAAGAACCCTGGGAACGAGGTTGAATGATGCGAGTACGGTGGCCCACAAGTGCACTCCGAATTCCAAATGACACTCCTTATCTTTAAACACACCCCTGATTCTAAAAGTTCACTCTTAATTCTAAAAGCTCACTCCTGATTCTTAAAGTTCACTCTTAATTCTAAAAGTTCACTCGTAATTCTAAAAGCTCACTCCTGATTCTAAAAGTTCACTCTTAATTCTAAAAGCTCACTCCAAATTCCAAAACTTCACTCCGAATTCGAAAACGCCACTCCGAATTCCAAAACTCCACTCCGAACTTGAAAACATCACTCCAAATTGGAATTCTCCACTCCAAATTCGAAAACTTCACTCCCAATCCAAAATCGAAAACCCAGAGTCCTCGGGCTCTTTGGTCAACGGTAGAGCCCGAGGGAGGGGTAGATACTTCATATATGATTCCTATAGTGTACCGATATATAGATTCTTATAGTGCAGTCTTTCTTCTAGTGTACCAAGGTACTTGGATTACTTGAGTGTCTTGGCCTACTTCAGTAACTTGGCGTGCTTGAGTTTCTTGGCTTACTTTTGTGTTTTGTATTGGTTGGATTGATTGGCACACTGACACATAGAAACTCAGATACTGCTTCTGGGTTATTCAGTCCGGATATTTACAAAAACAAAGTTAAAAAACTGGGGAAATGCTTTGTGTGGCTTTCTTCATGGAAGAATGCCCCAACGCATACCATCGCTGGAGTTCAAGAGCTTTATCAACAGCTGTTACCTACCAAGGTTTACTACAACAGAAAAACAAAATCACAAGTCACTGATGAAAAATGCGGCCTATGCGGGGATTCCCTGGAGAATGTGCAGCACATTCTATCTGGCTGTAGTGCACAAGCACAGACTAAGTACCTACAGAGATATAACAATGCTTTCAAGATCTTATCAAGCACGCCACGTTACTGAAGTAACTGAAGTAGGGCAAGACACAAAAGTAAGCCAAGACACACAAGTAGGCCAAGACACTCAAGTAGGCACTGAAGCAAGCCAAGTACCTAAGTAAGCCAAGTACCTCGGTACACTACAAGAAAGACTGCACTATAAAGAAGAAAGACTGCAATATAAGAATCTATATATCGGGACACTATAGGAATCATATATCAAGTATCTACCCCTCCCTCGGGCTCTACCGCTGACCAAAGAGCCCGAGGACTCTGGGTTTTCGATTTCGGATTGGGAGTGAAGTTTTCGAATTTGGAGTGGAGAATTCCAACTTGGAGTGATGTTTTCACGTTCGGAGTGGAGTCTTGGAATTCGGAGTGGCGTTTTCAAATTCGGAGTGGAGTTTTCGAATTCGGAGTGAAGTTTTCGAATTCGGAGTGAAGTTTTGGAATTTGGAGTGAGCTTTTAGAATTAAGAGTGAACTTTTAGAATCAGGAGTGAGCTTTTAGAATTAAGAGTGAACTTTTAGAATCAGGGGTGTGTTTAAAGATAAGGAGTGTCATTTGGAATTCGAAGTGCACTTGTGGGCCACCGTATGCGAGGCAACATTCGCCAGTAAGATCCTGAATGCCCTGTTACAAAGTAAATTTTAACTTGACTTTTAATGTTCTTGCCAAGAGCTTGTAGTATGTGACTCTGGATTGAAATAGGTGTATCATGGGCTTAGATTAAGTCACACTTCGGGCAAATTTCCACGGTCTCTTCCTCACTAAACTGAATCCAATCTTCAAATTTACGTCTAAATTTATATTTGATACATGTGTTAAGCAAGAAATATGGAAAATTACGACAAGGAAATATAATACAGTTTTCAGGATCAAACACAGAAAACCATTATTGCAGTTTTAGACAAATAAAGGTAGGCAGACACACATTGAAGTTTTTCACTCAAAAATGCCTTTCTCAGGCATTAATAGCCAGTAAATCTCTTGGTGTACTATGCGAGCTTTCGCATAATTTGGAATTTTGAAGTTGAAGGTTCCTCAACCTTAACCTGAAGAGATTCTTCTATTTGCTCCTGGCAATTCAGTAAAACGTTCGGCTCAACGTTGATAAGTTCTTTAAGAATCGAAACGAGGATTGGTCTTGATATAATTGTTTGTTTGGCCGTCGCAAGTCCAAAACAAGCGGCACAAACGGAGGCTGCAGCCAGCATGGACGGCGTATACATAAAAAACTTCTCATCTGTACAGCACAAACTGATGAAAGTTGCGGCACGCCTTCGGATCACGCTGACGTTGGGAAGAGAAAGTCGGGAACAGATCGTTTCCAGAAAATCATAGGGAGTAATTGCAGACAGGTCCCATTTAAGGTTTTTGAGAACTAGAATTTCCCAATCCAACAATTCTTGACAAGTGATCGAGTTAGCTGTATAAATGCACAGTGTTTCAGCTGACAGCAGTGTCTCCTCTCTAAGCTTGCTGGCGATAAACATACAAACAGCACCAAGCAATTGAAGGTTGCATTTTCGTATTGGCACAACCGATAAAAATCGGTCTAAATAGTTCACTGCCAAAGGAAAAACTTCTTCCTCGCAATTTTCCTCCTCGCAAACTTCACTCATCCATGTTGTTACCATGCGCCTCATGTATGGCTTAATCTCCTTCTGTACAACGTTGAAGTATCGACAATTGGGGATACATTTCTCCTGGCAGATAAGTAGATTCCGAAGAACGCGATCGTCTTCAACCAGAGCCAGGTTCTGATGCGCATCCATGCCCCTTGGTCCCACTTCTGAGGTACAGGCTGCTCAAAAATAAAATGTTAAACTTAAAGTTGCGAAGGGAAATAAAGTCTTAACAAGACAGAGTAAAAAGCACTGTTCGCGATGCTGTCTGAGAATGGAGCAGTCTGGTACATTTCAGTGTCCTTAAGTTGTATTATTATTCATTCAAAATATTTCCCCGATTCTGATTGGCTAAAAGCACACGTTTAATTCACCATAACCAGTTACTGACGACCAAATTTGGAAGAATTTTCACTTTAACGGGTAAATGACGTCAAAAATGCAGCGTTTTCGCACGTTAAGGCACCGTTAACCGAGAAGACCTGGGGACGAGGTTGAGTTGTTTTAGCGTGAACTTGAAAAAATGGCGGACATTTCACTCGTTTCAAGAGTAAGAACTAGGCGAAAAAATAGCTAAAAACATGGCAAGAACAGCAAGAAAACAACCCGAAGGGCGACAACTGCTATTTGGAGAATATTTGCGGAGCTGGACAAACCTAAACGTACACTATCGAAGATGGACTGAACATCGATGGATCGATGGAGGTAAGCATGTTTTAGCTATGTTTTAAACTAGGAATTATTTTGAATGAATAATAAAACAGTTATTGAATTCGGCTTTCGTATCATATGAAGAATTATGGAGATCTCGGAGGGTGTTGTCTCCATAATTCTTCATAAGATACTCAGCCTCATTCATTAACTGTTAATTATAGTTTACGATAGCTTAATGATATATTATCTTAATGAAAACGGAAAACTGCTAAACAGATGTATGTCGGGGTCTCTAGAACTGCTTGTTTTAGGCAGTGGGAGGATTTTCATTTTCTCGAGATTTTCTTCAAATACAGTGTGTACCAGTCGTCATGAATCACGTTGTATTTTTGCTATTCTGAGTATACTTTTAGGCGGGCATTTTTTTTTTCGCATTACGTGTAAAATCTTTAACCATTTTCTCCAGTTTTGCCAAAACAGCTAATTTATCGCGCCTTCTGCTGTACCTTTTCCGGATAATTTATCAGCAAACATTTTCTAACTTTGGTTAACGCTACCTCGCTACCTTAACTGAGGGAACAAACAGTCGAACCGGAGAAAGATTTTGAATGAATGATATTTCAGGAGAGAAAAGTGATTACTTTTTTACTTTCCTAGCTCTGTCAGTTGCAAACAAATAATGCTATAGAGTAAACATTACAGTCAAATGTTGTGATGAATAATTTAAGAGCTAACTTACACGCTACGATTTACAGGCCCGATTTTGTACATATAACTGACAGAAAAAAAAGAAATTTGCATTTGTTTGCAATGCTTTAAAGTAAGTATTTTAAGGGAGCTTCCCTTTTAGGCTTGGCTAAATGTATATACTAATTTCTTGTAATTTTCTTTAAGTTGTATTTCGTTAAATACACAGTACTAAATAATTTTATGCAGTTGTTATTTACTAAACAAGCAGCTCCTGAATATAATAGGAAAAAAAAGATGATTTTGTTAATATCCGTAACCTTGAGTTTTAGCAACTTAATATGTTTTCGTTCAAGCTTGCTCAAATTTCTTTTTTCTATGAACGTTATACAAGAAATACGTATTTGAAATTTTCTACAAAAACTCATTAATTGAGGCTACGTTATATAAATAAATGATAAATAATGATGATGATTTAACTGTCAAACCCTCGAGCAGTGCTTACCTGCTGTCGAATCCAAACACCTTTCTGATTTTTGGCCTTTCTCTGAACTGCCACCAATTAGATCCAACTGCTAACAAAAATAAAATACACTGGTCAGCTTGCTTTGATTCTGAGATGAACCTTTTAATTCCTCATGGTGATACACCGGTTTAATACGGTCATTGCGTTTCAGCAATTTTGAAAGTTGTGTAAGAGAAACAGAACGAAGGTTACATGTATATAAAGGTTAAAACGGTCTCAAACCTCCAGTAGATAAACGTTTTACCTGTATGACACAGCTGATAAAATGGATGACGCTTGAGAAATATAAACAACACTTATTAAAAATGTACCTGCCACTTTGTTTTATGAGCGCACATCAGGAACTAGCCAAATCAAGCTGGAGTTGTTTAAGAGCTGAACAAGCATGCTTGACTTGTGATGTGATTCGTCTCAAAAGAGATAGTTGTTCCTATCTTTGAATGGTACTTTAGAATATACTAAAAAAATACTTAAAAAAACCGCTTGATTAGGGTGACATTGAATTTAGCAAGAGCGTAACGATTGTGAACAGTGTTTTTTCATCTTCTACTACGAACCCCAAAACTAAGTGATCATCCCAGCCACGTAAAGGTCAATTAACCTTTAAAGGGCAAAGGCAGTACCCTCAGTTCCCAGTTACTTTTAAGGATTTTGAGTATTGATCCGTGTTTCGGGATTCGAACCTTCTAACCGTCCAATAGTCCAGTGCTCTATGACGGAACAACTATTCCCTTCTCTGAATTTTGCTTAAATAGTATCCTATCCTTTACTGGCTATTAATGCCTTTGTCAGGCATTAATAGCCAGTAAATCTGTTGGTGTACTATGCGAGCTTTCGCATAATTTGGAATTTTGAAGTTGAAGGTTCCTCAACCTTAACCTGAAGAGATTCTTCTATTTGCTCCTGGCAATTCATTAAAACGTTCGGCTCAACGTTGATAAGTTCTTTAAGAATCGAAACGAGGATTGGTCTTGATATAATTGTTTGTTTGGCCGTTGCAAGTCCAAAACAAGCGGCACAAATGGAGGCTGCAGCCAGCATGGACGGCGTATACATAAAAAAACTTCTCATCTATACAGCACAAACTGATGAAAGTTGCGGCACGCCTTCGGATCACGCTGACGTTGGGAAGAGAAAGTCGGGAACAGATCTTTTCCAGAAAATCAAGGGAAGTAATTGCAGACAGGTCCCATTTAAGGTTTTTGAGAACTAGAATTTCCCAATCCAACAATTCTTGACAAGTGATCGAGTTATCTGTATAAATGCACAGTGTTTCAGCTGAGAGCCGTGTCTCCTCTCTAAGCTTGCTGGCGATAAACATACAAACAGCACCAAGCAATTGAAGGTTCCATTTTCCTATTGGCGCAACCGATAAAAATCGGTCTAAATAGTTCACCGCCAAAGGAAAAACTTCTTCCTCGCAATTTTGCTCCTCGCACACTTCGCTCATCCATGTTGTTACCATGCGCCTCATGTATGGCTTAATCTCCTTCTGTACAACGTTGAAGTATCGACAATTGGGGATACATTTCTCCTCGCAGATAAGTAGATTCCGAAGAACGCGATCGTCTTCAACCAGAGCCAGGTTCTGATGCGCATCCATGCCCCTTGGTCCCACTTCTGAGGTACAGGCTGCTCAAAAATAAAATGTTAAATTTATAGTTGCGAAGGGAAATAAAGTCTTAACAAGACAGAGTAAAAAGCACTGTTCGCGATGCTGTCTGAGAATGGAGCAGTCTGGTACATTTCAGTGTCCTTAAGTTGTATTATTATTCATTCAAAATATTTCCCCGATTCTGATTGGCTAAAAGCACACGTTTAATTCACCATAACCAGTTACTGACGACCAAATTTGGAAGAATTTTGACTTTAACGGGTAAATGACGTCAAAAATGCAGCGTTCTCGCAGGTTAAGGCACCGTTAACCGAGAAGATCTGGGGACGAGGTTGAGTTGTTTTAGTGTGAACTTGAAAAAATGGCGGACATTTCACTCGTTTCAAGAGTAAGAACTAGGCGAAAAAATAGCTAAAAACATGGCAAGAACAGCAAGAAAACAACCCGAAGGGCGACAACTGCTATTTGGAGAATATTTGCGGAGCAGGACAAACCTAAACGTACACTATCGAAGATGAACTGAACATCGATGGATCGATGGAGGTAAGCATGTTTTAGCTATGTTTTAAACTAGGAATTATTTTGAATGAATAATAAAACAGTTATTGAATTCGGCTTTCGTATTATATGAAGAATTATGGAGATCTCGGAGGGTGTTGTCTCCATAATTTTTCATAAGATACTCAGCCTCATTCATTAACTGATAGATATAGTTTACGATAGCTTAATGATATATTATCTTAATGAAAACGGAAAACTGCTAAACAGATGTATGTCGGGGTCTCTAGAACTGCTTGTTTTAGGCAGTGGGAGGATGTTTATCTTTTCGAGATTTTCTTTAAATACAGTGTGTACCAGTCGTCATGAATCACGTTGTATTTTTGCTATTCTGAGTATACTTTTAGGCCCGCATTTTTTTTTCGCATTACGTGTAAAATCTTTAACCATTTTCTCCAGTTTTGCCAAAACAGCTAATTTACCGCGCTTTCTGCTGCACCTTTTCCGGATACCAGCAAACATTTTCTAACTTTGGTTAACGCTACCTCGCTACCTTAACTGAGGGAACAAACAGTCGAACCGGAGAAAGATTTTGAATGAATGATATTTCAGGAGAGAAAAGTGATTACTTTTTTACTTTCCTAGCTCTGTCAGTTGCAAACAAATAATGCTATAGAGTAAACATTACTGTCAAATGTTGTGATGAATAATTTAAAAGCTAACTTACACGCTACGATTTACAGGCCCGATTTTGTACATATAACTGACAGAAAAAAAAGAAATTTGCATTTGTTTGCAATGCTTTAAAGTAAGTATTTTAAGTAAGTATTTTAAGGGAGCTTCCCTTTTAGGCTTGGCTAAATGTATATACTAATTTCTTGTAATTTTCTTTAAGTTGTATTTCGTTAAATACACAGTACTAAATAATTTTATGCAGTTGTTATTTACTAAGCAAGAAGCTCCTGAATATAATAGGAAAAAAAAGATGATTTTGTTAATATCCGTAACCTTGAGTTTTAGCAACTTAATATAATGTTTTCGTTCAAGCTTGCTCAAATTTCTTTTTTCTATGAACGTTATACAAGAAATACGTATTTGAAATTTTCTACAAAAACTCATTAATCGAGGCTACGTTATATAAATAAATGATAAATAATGATGATGATTTAACTGTCAAACCCTCGAGCAGTGCTTACCTGCTGTCGAATCCAAACACCTTTCTGATTTTTGGCCTTTCTCTGAACTGCCACAAAATAGATCCAACTGCTAACAAAAATAAAATACACTGGTCAGCTTGCTTTGATTCTGAGATGAACCTTTTAATTCCTCATGGTGATACACTGGTTTAATACGGTCATTGCGTTTCAGCAATTTTGAAAGTTGTGTAAGAGAAACAGAACGAAGGTTACATGTATATAAAGGTTAAAACGGTCTTAAACCTCCAGTAGATAAACGTTTTACCTGTATGACACAGCTGATAAAATGAATGACGCTTGAGAAATAAAAACAACACTTATTAAAAATGTACCTGCCACTTTGTTTTATGAGCGCACATCAGGAACTAGCCAAATCAAGCTGGAGTTGTTTAAGAGCTGAACAAGCATGCTTGACTTGTGATGTGATTCGTCTCAAAAGAGATAGTTGTTCCTATCTTTGAATGGTACTTTAGAATATACTAAAAAAATTCTTTAAAAAAACCGCTTGATTAGAGTGTCATTGAATTTAGCAAGAGAGTAACGATTGTGAACAGTGTTTTTTCATCTTCTACTAGGAACCCCAAAACTAAGTGATCATCCCAGCCACGTAAAGGTCAATTAACCTTTGAAGGACAAAGGCAGTACCCTCAGTTCCCAGCTACTTTTAAGGATTTTGAGTATTGATTCGGGTTTCGGGATTCGAACCTTCTAACCGTCCAATAGTCCAGTGCTCTACGACGGAACAACTATTCCCTTCACTGAATTTTGCTTAAATAGTATCCTAAGTATCACCGACATTTCCGAATACCCGCGTCAACTACTCACGTGAATTGGGGCTTTAAGGTGTGTTCCAGTGGCGACCTCTGTGTTCTTTAAAGAAGTGGTAGTGGAATCATTGTCATGTGCTGCGTTGACTTCACACAAAGTCGATAACCAACTATCACCTTGTCGTAGATCTTGAATTTTAGACTCACCATTTGCATAACCCGGGTCATGGTTTTCAGTGTCCCTGGCACCAGAAACATCTTTAGAAAAGTAAAAGTTCAACAGAAATTAAATCCTTGAAAATTACCAAAAAGCGAGATCATGACTAGAGAAGTTATATCTTCCTTAACCCATTCGCTCCTGGAGAATTTTCCGAAAAACGCGTTTTGAAGCTAGTCGAGTGGTTTTCTGGTCACTGTCCTGCTATAAAGAGCTAAAACTTACCACAAACCGGTTTACAGGTCGTACACTTCGCGGCCTTCTGATCCAGATGCAAAATTTCAGCTTGCGAAGTTCGGGCATGCGCAGAAAGCAAAATTGACTTTTACTTTTCGCTTTCTCTCCTCCCCTCTTTTTTTCGCTTTTCTTGCCTCATTTTTTTCTTCTCTTGCTGGGCATTTAGTAGGCTTCGTTTTGGTGGAAAGAGTTCTTAGGAAAGCTTTTAGGATCTTAGGATTAGGTGAAAGGAAAGGTAGGTGAGCAATAGAACAAGATTTTCATGGAGATTTTCAGGTCAATGTCACATGGTTTTTTGCTTCTTTCTCCGCTGTCCTTGACTAAATTGTGCTCATTCTGGTACGCTTCACTCTGCCCAAGTTAGCAGACAAAGTTGTCCTTGACTGTTAAAACTGATGACGTCACAAAGGGTAGAAAGGACGTGGATCCGCACGGGCGGTTACAGGTGGCTCAGGGGCGAATGGGTTTATCTTATTCAGTAAAGTTGAACCTATTCAGTAAATTTTTAAAAGCATTTTGCCTGCTCCTCACAGGATAGTCACGATGCCACAGGGAACTAACAATCAATTTCTAGGGTGGCTTAAATGGATTTTAGTTAGGTACCTCTTAACTACAAAGTCGAGTGAAATACGTAATGGCGGCATTACATTGCCATGGCCACATTGATGTAAAAAAAAAAAAAAAAATCTGACGGATCATGCTTAATTTTCATCTTTACGTAATATAGCTGAAGTGACCTTTTTCAGATACCTTTGATGATGGCGAGTGGTTAATGCTCAAACTTGGGAGGTATCACACCTAAAAATTCATCGGAGTCACCTTTAATCAGACATGGGTGGAGGGGGGCGAGAGGGACCTGCGGTTATTACACACGTAAAGTGGAGGAAGGGTTACCTACCCTTGTTTTCTGAAATTTTAGGCCATGATAAGTCACTGTCCAAGGATGTACATGAAGATGTTTCAGCATCAGCAAAATAATCACTTGAGCCAGCCTCATCTTCATCAGACTGGTCAACTCGTGCTATTGACTCATCAGTTGCCGCTGAGACAAAATTGAGACAAGTGAAATAACAAATCATTAACGATGCACTTTTGCAATGGTTGCCTAGAACTATTAACTAAAACAGCTGGGAAACTGCATTTTTTACACTGCAGAATATAATGCAAAGACTTTAAATACTAAAAAGCAACTATTCCTTCCAAGATTGTTTGCTTTACGGGTTAACTATATTCTAGGTTCACTTTCTTTTATACTTTATAAAACACGAATGTAAAGTGAAACTCAGCCTGAGAAAACAGCCGGCATTTCGCGACACCTTCAGTGGTTTCCCCGCGAAATGACGTCTAGGAAACGGGTGCAGAAATTCCATACTGATGCTTCAGGTTGGCTGACAATTTGCTTCAACGAATCAGAACCACTACACTAATCTGGGTAGTGAAACGTAATCAGTACGGAATTTCTGCACCCGTTTCTCACACGTCGTTTCGTGGTGAAACCAGTGAAGGCGTCGCGAAATTTCGGCTGCTATTCTCAGGCTAAGTAAAACTCTAACGTTGTAACTGAAACCCTTTGAGCTAGTGGTGTAAGATTTGTAGTTTGTGAACGAGAATTAAAGGAAACAGACAAAAAAGGAAAAATAAAGTATCAATAAGCATAGAAACAATGAATTTGAACAAGAAGGAGAATGTTGTAAAGTTTTACTTACAAGATTGTTTTTGCACTGCTTCTACAAGTTCTGACCAGTCAATTGCCCTGGAGCAAAAATGTTTATCTTGGGACAACCTGTAAGTACATGTACAATTCACAGAAACGTTAAAACGTGGCTCACATCTTAAGCAAGTATTTTTTCACAAACAATGAACAGTTGAAAAATATTAGTAGTTTAGTTTCGTTTAGTTCACCAATAGCCAACTGCAAATTAGGAAATTTGAGGCCAAAGACCTCGATAGAGCCCCTATCCCCTCCCCCACAATAGAACATTTAAAATTTACTTTACCCCCTCTCTAATAATTGCTTCTTAAAATTGCCACGATTTGATTTGTTTCGCTGAGTAGAAGAATGTAAAATGAATGCAAAATGTTATTCTCTGTTGTTCCAATTTCTTAGACAAGCCTCGATACACGAGGGTGACAGTGAAATAATAAAGTGACCGCTTGGATACCCACATGAAATTTTACACATTACCTGGTGTATACATCTTGCAAGTACTGAGCTAATTCGTCATGGCCATTTGCTCGAGCAATATCTTCAGGCAATGGTGTTCTGTCCTTGTAGGAGTTAAAGACAACCTGTCCAGCCGAAGTACTGAAGACCATTTCCATAAATTCTTGAGCATTTGTCTGCGCTGCTTTGTAAACCATCAGTTGAAGAAATTCAACTGATTGTTGTTGTTTTGATAGATTTGAAGAATCTGGAATAGTAAAAAAACGTTAAAGAAAATTATCATAATATGATTAGTGAAGGAGTCCGGGGGGGAGGGGAGTCTAACAGGAGATAAAATTGTTAAGAACTTGGAGATATTTTGAAAAAATTGTAAAACAATTATTATTATTGCTGATCCGCAAGGTACTTCAAGTACACTAGAAGACTATCTGGCTGTCTTACCATGGTCGGGCACATTTTCTAGTCCTTGGACTTGTGAAATGTTGCTGCTACTTGTAACGTTCCCAAAGGCAAACTCTGTCGACAACATGGCAAAATACCTGGCTTGGAGAAAACGATCTTTCACTAGCTGTTTGAGCAAGTCTTCCATATCGTCTACGTATTTAAAAAATGTAAATCCGAGGTCTCGACCAGAATCTGTGATGACAGTAACTGTTACCTCGCCAGGCGCTTGAGAACCTGAATGCAAAAAAGGCATAGTCTTAAAAATATCAAATGACACTGAGACACTTGAGTACACACTTATGCCATGCACCATGCTTAACTTAATTCTTATTGCAGCCCCCACAAATAAAGGACTTCAGTGTTCATTGAGGAGAATTGCTGTCTTTGTAATGACATCTGCAAACAGTTAGACTTTTTAGTCTTTTCGGACAAGGAAGATAAATTGTAGGCCCTGTTTTACAACCTCTGCACATATAATAAATTCCGAGGCTTTTACAAATAATAACATAAGAAAAAATAATACATGCAATTACTGGGCTGCCAAAGGGCAGAGACGCTGTACGTTATGAATTCATAGGCAGGTAACTGGATTCTAAAGCTGGGGTCCAGACCTTTCCTCGACTTCTTTTGTTGTAATTAGTACGTTTTTAATGTTACTTACCAGGGACAATTCCAGACAGGGTGAAGGGGTTTAACTTGTCTACTGTAACAGACACCCCTTCAAAATGTGCTACTCCCTTACTAACTTCGTCTGGTAACGCCTCAGTCAAGGATATATTGAACTGGAATCCACCCTGCAACAAATATTTGTTTTTGGCATTGAAAATAGACTGTGGCAATATACTATACGTGATAAAGACTAAACAAAAAATGCAAGGAATTTGAATTTGATGAAAAAGTTAACAAGAGGACAAAGGAAGGTTTCAACATTTTATTAAACCAGGAATAAAACTGAACCGCAAGAGCAAGGTTACACATTCAAGCACTCGCCACATTTTAATCTCCACATACATGGGCGACAATTTACTGACGATTGGTTGCTACTTACTTTTTATGATACCACGCAGGAGGCATGCTTAATTTTTTGCTAAGGCTGACGGTAAAATATATATATGACGGACGGGAATCACCTTTACAGATCCAAATGAAGGACAGATGCCTTGAATCTCTACATATAAAAACAAAAACAAACAAAAAAACTCAGGTTAGTAAACACCGCAGCATTGGTTCTGAGAAAATATCGTAGCGAAGTGTAAAGAAGAATATATAAAAACAAACAAACAAAAATTAATGCCTACTCTGTTCTCTGAAAGCCTCTGTTGGAACTGCCTGACCAAGTACATGTATACTAAAACGTATATTTCTTAAACCTTCTTAAGATTTGAATCAGTGAATCAAATCAGTTATAGGAGAATACAGGGTGTCCCAAAAGTTCGTTCCTCTAATTCCATGAGCTAAAACTTTTGATCAAAACTTTAATTTTACTGACACTATCGAGTACTTGTATTCAGAAGTTGACTCATTTTCACCTTTTTATCACCTAGTATGCAGGAACCACTTAGACCCCCAAACAATATAATTTTTTAGATTAGGTAGCTGAAACAATATATTTTGGGCATTGATCCAGGAAAATATAATCATCCCAACCCCTTAGTAAGGCTTTTGTACTTCTAAACAAATTTGAGGTGAGCTGAACGTTGCTTGGCGGGCGGAGTAGAGGCTTTTTTGCCATCTCAGGGGTCTCCAAATTTGGCTTTTCATGAACCTGCTCTAGACTGAAAACAATTAATAGGGGCTTTATTCAGGACTTTCGGTCTTCCCCCTCGTTTCTTGTCGTTAAAACCTTGATCTCTCTTACCACCCAACATTCGGATTTTTCCATATTTGGAGGAATTTCTTTAACTGATAAGACAGTAGATAGAAATACATGCTTCTACTCTCACCTAGCTGAGCGTTTTTTCTTTTAGAGGGTTTATCTTTCATGATATTCACAAAAAACAAGGAAGGAGTTCGACCATTTCGGGCTACAAAATACAAAAAATATATGGTGGGAAAATTTACTCGCGCAGCGCACCTTTGGAGAGAAATTACAGAAATCGAATATTCGGACCAAAAGATGGCGCAAGAAGTATGAAATATTAAATTAGATTGAAAGTCACTACTTTTGTTTAATTCATTTGCTGATCAAGTCCAATCGTACTGCGTAAACAGACTTATAAAGTAGAAGAACGAACTTTTGGTACACCCTGTAGAGCTTTCTTTTGTAGTTTATGTAAATAGATTAATATAAAAGTATTAAAAACATTAATGTACTTCCAAAAAGATCCGACAACAAAGCAGGTATATCATCGGCTGTTCCACAGGAACTTGTTTCTTTTCTGGCTGAGATCTGCATGCCTGTGTCAAATATCTAGTGAAAATAGAAATTCACAATTCAGAATTTGGTGAGCGAGCTTGCCCTCAGTTGAGGAGTGGTAGTGTTTCGAAAATATTACGTTTTGTAAGCCGAAGAGGACTAAGCGATGGAAATTGCTGGAACTGGAGAAAAAAACGCCTACTCAAGAAGGGAGTTACTGCACTTCAGTTCTGCTTCTCATAGTTATTAACTTAGGGCCTGTTTACATGCAGGTGGGTGACCCTAGGCAAGTGAGGTAATATTACCAGCGTGTCCATATCCTCGGTTTGCACTGTCATGCCATGAAAAATAAAAATGCAAACCATTTAATACAGAAAGTCTGGAATCTGGGAAATGAAAGAAGATAAATATACAAAAAGCCTTGCCAAGAATCAGGTCTGTACAATATTTTAAATGCAATTTATTTGGAAAAACGTTTTAACTAAATTTATAAAGCTTTGTATGGAAACGCCATGTGCGGCCGCCAGAAACTAACAGAAACATCTGTTTTCTAGACGTGAATTCTTTGCTCGAGGAACTCATAAAGATTAAAGTAATATTTATTCTGAGACAAGGAATGTTTAGATAGAAAAATCTCCAAAATCGGTAATGTTTTTAACCCACATAAGAGCTTTCTTAGCCGTCAGCTAAATGCCGCGTCAAGCAAAAGCCTGGAAATTTAAGCGTCCTCTCTCGCAAAACTAAGAACCCTTTCGAACCAAAAATTTGTTTATATAAAGGTGTTTAGGTGCTGCAATACCTCGTGAAAGTAGAAACTCAGAAGAAATCGATAGTGCCTAAGTTAATTTTTGGTGATGTCACGTGCAAACCAAGAATAAACTCTCAAAGGACCACCCCACCGATCATGTAAACGTAATCAAATTATTAAAATGAGAGATTATATGGACGGGCGGGCTACCTCACCTACCTGGGGTCCCCCACCACCATGTAAACAGGCCCTTAGTTTTATGAATGGCGTACTATTAGAAAATTTTTTAACTACTTTTAATTACTGATTTACCTGAGAAGAAGTAGTGGGGTTGACCTCTAAAGGCAAATCCTGTTTACTTGCAGTATCGCGAATGTCTAACCACGGATCGTTTGAAAGGTCACTTGGAGCGGGTAAAGCCGTAGAAACTGGTTCAAGATCAATTGCTGAAGAATCTATATAAGCAAAAAAAAAAAAAGGAAAAAAGAAACAAACAGGCGTGAATTCAGCTTGCGTAAAGAAAGGCATTTTACAAAATTTACATAAAACCAGTTTCGAAGGCAGCCAAAAAAAAAAACAATAAAAAAAAATTGTGAGGTTCCTATTTCAATACTTGTCGATCAGTATACTCGTTGTCGTTTTCTACTTCTACTAGAAATGGGTACTCTAGTTTTACAGTGAAAAATGCCGGGTTTTTTGTACGAGTATTGACTGAACTCTTAACTTACTATCATCAACGCGAAGGCCATCACTTGCTTCAATTCCTGAGTCCATACCCCTGTCTACAACCGAGTCTGATAACTGTGACTGAAAAGTCAATAATTATAAACAAACAAACATTGCTTTGAACAAAAGACTTTGTTACGTACGAGACTTTCCTACTCAAGTCTCGTCTAAATGAGCATTTTCAATCTGAAAATTTTATTTCACTCGCACGTACACAGTCACAAATTTATGTACGTGTAACAAACTAGATTTTGATTATTTAGATACAAAGGAAGCACTATATAAAATAATGTCACTGTAGACCTCGATTAGAGGCAAAATGACTTGTAGTGTCCAACGTGGTCAAACGTGTATAGCATTCTTATTTTAAAGACATCTAAGATCCAAGAATTTAGGCTTACCCCAACATACTATTTTTTATACAACTAACAAATTCAATTTTCAAATAATCAGTTTACAGATCTTTTTTCAATTAAAATAAACTGATCACTTACCCCTTTTTAAACGATTTGAAGATTGAATTCGATAGTTGTTGCCCGAACTAATGTACAGCTGTATCAGATTTATACCTGCATTCCTGTCCAATTACATATTTTTGGTATCTACAACTACAGTAAAAGCCCACGAATCAGAACCTAGTGATTTAAGAACCTTCAATTGAAGATGAAATTTGGCATTTAAATACCAAAAAATACAAGAACCTGTTCAGCCTGGCAAATAAAAATAGGTTCTTATAATGTGGCTAAATGTAATTTAGGCAAAGTTAACCTCGAAGCAATGCTGGTCAGCAGTTTCCTCAGCTATATCAGGGGTGGCCCGATGCCTCTAGGCAGTTGCTTGCTTGCAGTTCTTCGCAAAGTGTTGTTGCAATAGCTTGCTGTTTGCGTGCCAGTTTGTGCTTTGGTTTTTTCCCATCCCTCCCTCCCTCTTGAGGTATGGGCCAGGTAAGTATTGGTCGGTAATTGTTCAGTGTGACGGTGCCTGGTGGGGGCCGCTCGCAGGGTTGCCATGGATACCTCCTCCTCATGCTAGAGCATTGGCCAGCTCCACCAACTTTGTAGGTACCAACGCCCAAGCTCATCTATTGGTGATGAGTTTAACTAAAAAAAAAACACTCCAATTTTGATGTTCATTTTAATTTTGTGAAAATTAAAACTTCTGACAAAAAGTGGTTGTGTATAATGTTTTCTTCGATTTACGTTTGTTTGGTTTTCCACTACAAATCTGTTTTCCATAAACAATTGTGCACAAAAGTAGCACATTTTTGTGCCAAATGGTTACACCACGAAAACCTCGGAAAAATAAGAACCTATAATTAAGTACCTTGTCAGCCTGAACTGTGAAAAGACTACCCCATAATAGAAGAATCAGTTTAAGCCTGACCTCGAAAATTCTAGGTTCTTAGATGTGGGCTTTTACTTTACTCAGTACTTGGTATCAAGATCTAAAACGCCATGAAGAAACGCTTACATCAACTTCAAGAAAACGAAAACTCAGCTGGCAGGGGATGTGAAATCTTCGGACGGGAGGGGGAACTGCAAATGTGCCGGTAACATTCTTTGTTTAAGGAAAAGGGTTTGTATAAAAAGACTTATCCCCCTAGATGTAGGGAAACTCCAAAACATTTAATCAACACCATACCGTAAATGATCGATTAACCACCGCAGCGCCTATTTTATTTTCCCTGTTATAGGTGTGGCGCTTATTTCAACTACTGGTAAAACACCGAGGGTAACACAGAGAGAATTTAACAAGTCAGGTGCGCACTTGGTATGCACATTTTAGTCATGGCGCAATGAATGAATGGCACTTCGCAAGTAATAAGTTGTGTGGTATCAAATCAAAAGCTTTACTTAAGTCTGTTATCACAGTCTCAACCACAGAATTCTTACACCTCGAACTATCACATGAACCCGGTTTCAAGAGTTTCCCTACATTAAAACTTAAGAACTCACGAGTTGGTCGAGGTCTTATTTCTCAAGTGATACCAACCGCCGTAACAAATGTGGGGTGTTAATTTGTAAATACCCAGATTAGCACCATGGCGCTTACTCGAGAGCGGCGCTTATTCGAGTAGGTGCTTAATCAATCATTTACCGAACGGTAATTATTATCGGTAGTAAGGTATGAGACTTTAGAAACTCACCTCATGGTCTGATCCTGATGTTCCTACATCTTCGTCACGTCCTTTGATAGCCTTGTTGATAAATTGTTTGGCCCAGTTCCCCGCTGCATTCATAAAAGAATTCCGTTTTGGTGGACAAGAAGACTTACGAGCAATCTTTTCACTACCATCGTTTTGACCTGCAGTTTGCAGTGCAGGGTCCCACGATTTTGACCTAATACCGGACCAGGTCGAAATGATGTTTTGAGGTATCCCTGACTGGGCAACAAGGCTTTCTTGGGCTATTGTTATACCTGTGTTTTGGACAAAAAGAAAGCAGAATATCACGTTAATTCATGAGCCATCTACTGAATACTAAATAAATTCAATAACATCCTTTTTTTTCTAAACAATGTGCGGAGGACTTACACCTTTTAAGAAGTGACAGAGAGAAAGTTTCTTTATAAAATTGCCTTTTCTCGAACGTTACTTAACTTCATTTTTACGTCGTGAACTTTAGTAGAGTAATCCCCGACGCCGTTTTGAAAGTTAATTTCAAACTTAGCACTTTTATCCTCATGTCGACTGCTTATCTGCGTACATTGCATGAAAGTTTAATTAAGACAAACGGAATTTGAATTAATTAAATTTACTACATTTGCACTAGTCGCCTGTGACCTTACCTACAGAATGACCAGCTGTTTCAATCCTGCTTTCGGTATTCATTGTGGTCATCTGATCATGGGAGCGTTTCAGTGTAAACCGCTTTGAGCCTGTTCCTGTGGGATCCTGTTTGCCAAAACTTGCCTGATGGAGAATAGCGATTTTTAAAGGCAATTTAAAGGCTAATAATCCACAAATTATGTCAAAATACATGAACATACAGAATCATCTCCCATCAGTCCATAAATAGTGGTCTTTTTCTGGTGACTGTTTAGCAAGTGTTCAACAATTTTAGACCATAGAAGATCAATATAATGCAAAAGAAGACGCTTTCCTACACGGAAAATGGAAAGCAAACAACAGTCCTTTTCAAAAACATAAACATATTGCTCAAGATGAAGATTTCAGTAAGGGGTCAAGTGCAGAAAATACCTTTGAAGGTGCAATAAGAATTAGATCTATGCCATGCTCATTAGTCTAGACAGCAGATAGAGGAAATCCCTTCAAGCCATCTTAAACCTCCACTTAAGTATTGGGTTATTCTAGAAAAAATCCACAGCGCCATGACGGAAGGCACGTTTTTTTGACCCCCCCCTCCTCCTCCCACCTGGATTTCTAAAACTGCTTCTTCAAAGACCCCTTCACCCATCTGGATTTTCATAAAATTGTTCGACACCGTAATTTTATCTTATCCTCAATGTAGAAGAATCCTTTTAAGCAATTAGATGATCTTTTCATTAAATAAGTCTCAATTTTCCCTGAATTCAGTGTTTGTTGTGAAAGTTAAGATTCCATTTTCACATCTTCTTGAACAGGCTTAGACTTTTGGCAAATAAGCCCATATTTGAGTGCACCTCTCTTTTTTTCTAGAAAAGGCAAAATATACAGCAATATATACTACCATCAAGCTCAAAACTGACTATGTTCTCGAATAAATGGTTCTCTTCTTCGTCGATAAAAAATGACTGCGAAAGAAAGAAAAGGGACACTTAGTGGGATATTACATGACGCGCTATACGCTTGCCACAACACTTGCCTTTCAAAATGGCCGCCGAGCGATCACGAACAACCACGCTTACTTGTAAGGCGTTTTTAGTGGTAAATCACCCCGAAATAGCATTGATCTTGGAAAAATGTTTAATTCAAGGTAAAATCATTGTTTGCGTTCCTTGAATTGAGCGCTTTTTTTTATCAATTATGCGATTTTTCTCGATATCTTTAAGTTATCGCACGTTGCTTCTCCAAAAGTAACGAGGGCGAGCCTATGGATGGAGACTTAAAATAAATGTGGTAAGAGGTCTGCAGTTTGAAAGAATAATAAAATTTGAAAAGGCAAAGCAATGTTTTGAAAACTTATCGACTGAAGCGATTGAAACATCGATGAAATCGATAAAGTTACCCCCGAGGATGTATCAGGGTGTCCAGTTCCTATTTTTTGAGGCTGTTCCTATTTTGAAACTAAAACCTCCTATTTTTTCTATTTTTTTAGCTGGTGAAGCCAAAATTTGTAACAAAATTGAAAATGGAATTATAGTTGTATGTGTTTTTGAGTGAAATTTATCATAAAGCAAGAAGCATGTTGACTTTGATTTTCTAATATTAGTAAAAATGACAGTTACGTTTGTTCTTTCCATGACCTCTATTGCCTATAGGGTTCTGTTAACATTTTTTTTGTTACTTTTTGTATAATTTTCTCGTGCACCTGCATGTATTGTATGAAGTGTTATAGTCCTCATGACTATTGAATATTAGTAAAATCCAACTAGTGGTCTATTATCAATGCTGCGTTCTGATTGGTTGAGCTACTACTAGGCTATATGTTATAGCCCATTAGTAGCGAAAAGTGCGGGCTTTTTGGTGGCAAAAAAGGATTAAAGTATAGCTTTAACTAGGTAAAATTTTGTTATTCTCGATATTTTTGACCAACTAGTTGGATTTTACTAAAACAATTATTCCTCTTGCCCTCATGGCCTCTGAGTCAATAGCCCATTTGGCCGTTATTGACTCAAGAGTCCATTCGGGCTCAGGGAGTAATTGTTAAATATTTTGCATAGCCCACTGAAACTGCATTTTAGTATCTGTACATGTTATATTTTATTTTGAAGTCTTGCTTGCTTTTATGTTCATCTTTGAAACTGAAAGCAGGATCAAGTTGTCCTCTCACAACACAGGCCAGATAAATCACCCAATCAGCTTCTTGTTTAAAAAACCAATCACTAGCTGATTCTGGATGCTACATGAAAAGAACAGACTAAAGTTTAGTTTACGGCATTAGCTCTCTTGGTGAGCCCTTGTTAACAGCTATACCTAAGCAACTGGTGATGGATCCAATATTTTGGTTGCAAAATCGGTTTTGCACTCATAGCTAAGCAGAGTGTTTGTCCTTCTTAGAACTTAACCATGGCACACTTACAATCTGGTACCAAACAGATCAATGTCATTTTGCACAGAGCCCGATTCCATACTTAAAATTATGCGGTCTTTTGACTCAAACAAGCATATTCTCAACCAGTCACCGATTGCAGATTAATGGAAGGAAAGCTTTCCATAGGACTTTTTTCTATATCCTTCAATGACAACTCAATTGTAAGAAATTTCTATCCTAAGAAATTTCACTCTTCAAAGCTTTTGAAAGAATTGCCATCAACTTGAAGGGAATTTCCATATGATCACCTTTGATTATAGAACCACGCCTGACCTGTAGTCAATCACATCATTCTGATTTAATACAGCGTAACTGAGCCAATAAACTAAACGTTACTGATCATTTTCACTCCTTCTTAGCCGCGAAAGTTGATCTAAATGCTGTGAACATAGAATCTGAGGACTCTAGCCTTTATTATAACCCTTATGGGGTGCAGGGAAGCTACTTTTGTCGACAAAAGTACTTTTGATTTTCCTATTTTTCTCCTATGTTTTAATGCAAAGTTTCCTATTTTTCCTATTTTCTCTATCCTGAGTTTCCTATTTTCCTATGTTTTTGAGCAACCATGCCGCTGGACACCCTGAGATTGTATCTTTAGGTTCTGAGCCCCCCTCCCGTCTGGATTTCCAGAGCCGTTAACCCCCCTCCCGTGAGATTTTCCAGCATGCCTTCCGTCGTGGGGGTGTGGATTTTTTCTGGAATAACCCATTAAAAAAGGGTGACCTCCCTTTTCCCCGTCCAAGTTCACTGCTTGGCTCGCTTAATCTGCTCGCCCATTTTTTTGGCTGTTTCACCCTGTAGTTCCCCTAATTCCACCACTGCGGAGCCTGGTTCCCGGCCATTTTATTTTATATGTTTGAATTGCCAGAGGACAAACTGATTGGACAATAATATGACCATCAAGTCTGCATCACAGGGCTCCACCTCCTCACATCTCTATGGTCACCTGTAGACCAGTTTCTTTTTATTATTGTCTACGAGGCCTGTGGGTAACAACACAAAAGAATTAAATCTTGAGGTTCAGCCATGAATGATACTTTTCTGTCGTTTTTATTCCCCCAACTCTCGTAGCGAAGTATGAGCTTAATATATCGAAATTGGTCTATTCTTACCAACACATGGTTTACTTAAAAGTTAGAGCAATGAAATTCATAGCCTTACTTGATCTTCCAAAATATACAGGTTTGAATTTCCATTTATCTTCTCCCTTATTGTCTTTCCATCCCAGATATGAGATCCACCAAAGTCAAATTCCTTACGCTCGTTATTAACTTTCTTTGAAACTGCACACAAAAAGCTAGACAAATGAGAAGACATATTATACAAAAGGTTAGTATTGATTTAATATACAGTGAGTAGCCCTGTCAAAAAAAATTTGAGAAATTTTTGAGAGTAATAGCAAATCCCAACAAACAATAATTTGGTAATAATTTGACTACCTAGTATATGTTACATGAAGTACATGAAGTAGCCTCGTTTTCACCTAGCCCCAAGGCCTAGTTCACTTTGTGATCCTAGGCCGAAGTACCCTGAGTCCATGATCTCGTGAACATAGGTGGACATGCAGTTGTCACACCCTAAAAAATTTGGGGAAGAAGTTTGTTGTTGCTGCAGTTTTTAGTTTGTTTAAGCTTTTATTTGTCTGTTAATGAGAAAAAAATTTGATTGAAAAACTTCATATTGCAAATGAATTTTGATTAGGAAGTTTTTATAAAACACTCAGGCAACCAGTTTGAGACTGAATTCAAACATCCTTGACGAAATCAGAGAGCTGCCGCTTCCTACTACAGGTATACCATTAATTGCAAATTAAGGGAGTCCATTTGAAAGGGAGGGATGATAAGCAAGACAAGGAAGTAAGGGGAAGGGGTAAGTAAAACATGGAGGTAGGGGTGCAAAAAGAAGAGGCAAGTATGTGTTTTCATATTCAGTCTGGACATTTTAAATCGACAGCAATAAAAAGTGGATGGTCTCTCATTAATTCAGCAAAACTTTGCAAAAAAGGCTAAACACATGGATATAAGGCGTAAGTCAGGCTCATGAAAATTAGAAAAAATACATTTTTTTTCATTATTTTTGTAGATAAGAATCAGAAATAAGATAAATTATTGTGTAGTTCCAGAAAATATTCATACCCTTTGGACCCCATCCCCTGGATTTTCCATTTCAGGGGGTACTTGTCATACCCCCCCCCCCCTCCACCTCTTGGAATTTTCCCTGGTTTTTCATTTTGCATTGGTTGGTTACCCCCTAGAAAGAATTTATTTTGTGATTCACCAAAAAATGTTGTTGCACTATATTATTTATGCAAAAGATATTTTTTTTCCCAATGAAATGAGAAAAAATCTTTTCATTCATGTTAATATGTGTGCCTAATAATTTCAAGACGTTGTTAGCTAACAATTAACCATAGAAGCAATACCTTGTAAACACTATATACTGACTACACAAATCATCTGCAAAAGAACAGCATGTGAACTTTCATTACTTTATTTTAGTTTGAACATGTTTCACGAAGGCTTAGAACACGACCAAATTGTGAATCACTGCATAATAAAGCAACAGCTAGATAACCAGAAGTTTATATTCATGAGCTGATGACAATAGTATTAAGAAAACTATCATGTTTACAAGCCATATGAAAAAAGCATTTGGCCTCTCATACATAAAAGATAATCAATGCAAACAGTAACACTTGCTTTGAAACACTGACCTAGTAAAATAACTGAAAGCTTGCTCAACAGAGAAGCTGTAAAAAAAAGCACTGTAAGCAACCTCCCACCCCCTTGGAAACTGCCTCCTTTTGGACTCCCCCTCCCCTTGGAATTTCCAATGCCCTCCATCATGGGGGCGGGGGGGGAAGATATTTTCTGAAACTATTCATTTTATGAGTTATACATGACTCAACAAGCAAAATATTTACAGTTAAGTACTATAGTTTTTTTTTTTCATTTTCATTAGCCATGTAACTCTTAGTGTAATGACCAGATTCACTTACCTCTTATTTTCTAAATATGGAAAAGTCTCTTGAATTTTGTCCCTCACATTGTCTTGAGTCATACTGGATGAAAACTCAATAACAGATTTAGTTTTAAGGTTTCGCATGTCACTGAATGAAGTGTGCTCATCATTAGTCTTTATCAGAGTGACAGTTCTGGAAAAAGAGTTACATTTAAATCTCTTTGCTCTGGCACCTGCACCTGGTTGGGTCATTATACAGTAACTCGCAGTCAGCAGTAATGTGGAAGGAAATGTTTTTTCCCTGAAAGAAAATTAAAAAAATAGAGTATACATCCATGCACTGATTGACTTTGCAAGCTAGGCAAATACTTTATGGCCACTTTAATTACCTCCCAAGGACCAGTTGTCAAATCAATCAAATCAATCAATCATATCTTTATTGGTGGTTTTCACTAACATGCCATCAAAAATAAAAATGGAAACCTTTCAATACAGACAGTCTAGAATCTGGGAAATGAAAGAAGATAAATGTATAAAAAGCCTTGCCAAGAATCAGGTCTGTGCAATATTTCATAAGGGAGATAGACAGAAAAACATTTTACCCAAATTTAAAAAGCTTTCTATGGAGATGCCATGCTTGTGTCCCTTTCAGGGGCAAAAATATGGCTGCCAGAAACCAACAGAAACATCTGTTTTTGAGTTTTCCTACTAATGCATAGATTTTCCACTTGAGGAACTCATAAAGATTAAAGTTATATTCACACAAAAATGTATTCTGAGACAAGGAATGCTTACAGTGTAGATAGCAAAATCTCCCAAAATCCATAATGTTTTTAACCCACATAAGAGCTTTCCAAGCTGCCAGCTCAATGCTGTGTCACATAAAAAGCTGGAAATTCAAGCATCCTGTATCGTAAAACAAAGAACCATTTTGAACCAAAAATTTGTTTGTATAAAGGTTTAAAGGTGCTCTAAAAGCACATGAAAGTAGAAACTCAGAAGAAGCGATAGTTTCTTAGTTTGAATTTTTGTGACGTCACGTGAAAACCAAGAATTTAATTTGGATTTAAGAGTAGCATTTCTGCTAAAAATCTCTGAAAGAGAAAATACTGAATAAAATGTAATAAAAATAGAAATAGTACAATTAAAATACATTTATATACATGTAGACATCAATTACACCAACATTATATACAACTATATATCAAAAGGCCGATTAACACTTTAATCCAGGCTTAACCTGTAAATTTTAATCTGGGTTTGTTTTTCTTTTGTTCAAATGAATTTTCTCAGATGGATTTTCTCCTTTTCTTTTTTTACTATCCCATCATCAAATTGTAGACAATTATACGAATTGAATTGTATTTGGTGTTAAATCAAATTTCTACTTAGTTCGTTCACAAAGTTTGTTGTAATAATAATCATTATTATTTTATTTCCTTTTTTCTTTTTCCCTAATTTCTTAGTAATCTGTTTCGATTTTCAGTGAGTGTATTAAAACTATCTGTTTTGCTCTACCAGCCTAGATTAGCCCTGCTATTTGCTGGTAGAGCAGTTTTCTAATATTTTCTTTTAAAATTATTACTTGTATCTATAAGCAGCTATAAGAATTACAGATTGGTCAAACAATCATGTTAAGTTTACACTGTTTTGTACATGATTTAAATGCTACAAAACTAAAATTCTATTCTGAAGATGACTACGTACAACTGTACAGGTTGTCAAAATGTCTGTCACTGTTAAGAACAGTGCTATTCAAGACTTAACACTCACCCACACAAATCATTATCTTCCTTCTTATGAAAATAATGACTCCTAGGTTCATTTGGGTTACTTTTAACAGATCAATTCAAAACTTCAACATCCCCACAGGCAAAAAATACAACAATAAAGGTAAGCTTAAGGAAGTCTGCACGAAGCTTCAAAACATTCGCTTTGTATACATAAAAAAGAATTAATAAGCTTTTACTACAAGAACAGCAAAGGTCAGTTAAAAATCCCGAATGACATGTTTACTCACATTTGAATTTGGCGGCATGATTTTCGGGACTTTCCATCATCAGAAGATAACTGAACATTTGTAAAATAACCAACTATTTGCCAATCTACTGTTGGTCCACATGCACGGCGCGAGGGGATAGGCTAACAGTCCACAACTTCTCAACGAACTACCTCCGAAAGATCGACATTATGAAATCGAGTCGTCCCTTGAGTATCACGTGACCATTCTCAAATCGCGCTTTTTTCTGCGCGACGATTAGTACCGAACCCGCAAATACATGCAAGAAGAAAATGTCGACTTTTTCGCTTTAAGCTATCATATTTAAGAGGAGAGGAGACTGTGGGGTTCTTTGAAATCCAAAAACAAATCAAATGACATTTCAAAGATTTGGTTTTCCCTATTAAAATGAGCATAGCAAAGTCGTCCACTGTAGCCGGAAGTCAGGGCAAATCAGAGTCCCGGTTTCTGAAAACTGTACTAGCTTTCTAAAAATCCACGAAGAGTGAGTGCTCTTGCTTTCAATTATCCGAATTATTTGACGGTTGATTTTTCAACTACAATAAAGTACAAAGGCCCGGTTCAGACGCCGAACCTTTCTTGAGAGGGAACCTAATTCGAACTTAGGCCGACCCAAACTATTAAGACCGCCTGAATTGATTCAGACGCCGATCTTAATTCCAGCCGAACTAAATTCAGAAGGAGAAATATGCTCATTTTGATCAAACTGCTTGCAAAATACGTTATTATAATTCATGCATTAAGTTCGGCTGAGCCGTTCCAAATTGAAACAGGCCTTCCTAATTGATTCATACGCCGAACTTTTCATGTACTTAATTCAATGTATTAGGTTCGGCTCACGAAAAGATCGGCGTCTAAACCGGGCCTTAGACGACGATCGTTCCCTCCTACCTACAACCTACCTAGTCAGTAGCTTGTGACTGCTGTTGCCTTGAATGCATCCACGAAGAAAATACGGCTGGAAGTTATCTGAAGTTGTACAACAAAGCAGCGACCTCGGAGTAAAATGAAAACAAACCACTTGGGCATTGCTATATATAGTAGCAAGTACAAAATGATCACGGGACAGTAATTGGGTCACGCGATTGGTTACAAGCAAAGTTGACTTCCACACGATACCAATACAATGTAAAATAAAATATATATGGTCGTTATTTTATAAATTTCTCCTTTATTCGTTTGGAGCACATCATAACAGATTTAGGTTTTCTAAGACTGACTGAATAACATTTTGCTTTCCTCAAAATGAGCAGCAATGACTTGAGCCTGTTTTTCTTTTCTTTTTTCTTTTTTGCTTTGTTTGGTGAAACCGGAAGTGGATCTTCGAAGCTTTTTACAATGGAACCTCGATAAAACGTACCTCTACAAAACGAAGACCTCAGTATAACTAACGATTTTCTTTACCCCAGTAATAGTAAACTAGACTGCATACGTGAATCGCAGGACCTCACGAGGGACTTAGGGGGAACGGCAAGAAGAGTGAAAGGGAAATAAGGCAAAAGGAAAGAAAATTTACAATTTAAAAAACTTAAGCTGTATAGAGAAACATAACAAAACTGCAATAACGAAAAAGTAAACAACAATAAAAGAAAAAGACACAAAGAAGAAATAAGACGCTTAATAGAAAGGAAGAACAGGTTCCGCCAGCAATTCTACGCGCCGCTTTTACCGTTACCACTAGGCCATGCACGTGGAACACACTGAGAAAGGTTTCGAATTTTATTTCCCACGCCAGCGCGACCTGTATAAAGTTGATCGAGCCCCATTAAACATCAATTGAACGATATTTTTCAGAAGAATGACTGCTGTTTTGACGGTGAAAACCCAACGTAAACACATTTCATCGCATTTAAAGAACGGATGCCCAAATAGCTCCAACTATACTGAGTAAGCCGACACGGTAGGCTCGTCTGCGAGCAAAACGTGTTTTGTTACCTCGATTTTCGCTCCTTTTTTAAGGCTTATTATCCAAAATCGCTTCCATTTGCTGTTAAAAGTACTTGTCCATTCGAAATTCATTGCAAAAAGCACTTGTCGACTCCTAAAACGGCCGCTAAAACAACCAAACCGATAGCTGATATGACCAAAGCAAGGCACTCTTCGATGTTGCCTGGAAGCACAAACTGACGTCAGGGAGGACACCATCGCGATATATACAAGTATACAGCTATTTCGAGAAAGGTTGTCGGAAAAAAGTGCCCGCGACAAACCCGAAAGTTAATATGGGATACGATCAGTGACACCTACTTACTTCGAACCTACTTATGAAGAACAGTGAACTCAAAACCACCCACAATACCTTTCGGGATTGTCGCTTGCACTTTTTCCGACAACTTTTTTCGAAATAGCTGTAGATGAGCCGACCGACCTTACAGGTTGCTAACACCACGCGTTGTACACTCGCTTTGCGCTTGACGAGATTATAAGAGGCAATGCAAGGCGCCCAAGGCGCCTCGCTTCGCTCGGAAATATATGAAAAAGAGCCTAGCTCGGTCTACGAAACTTTGGCCCTTCGTTATATCGAGGTTCCAGTGTACTTTCAAACATAACCTCAAGGTCTATGTGCATGGGAAGATAGGACGAAAGACCACAACTTCTAGCAGAGAGCCGCAAGTTAATGATCAAATCACGCAGCTCCACGAATCCCTTGAGAGCCTCATGGCTATATACCTTTCCACGTTTTTTTTAACTTTTGGTATGGACAATTCAGGGAAAATTCGTCGAAACCACTGGAAAAAGGCTCTTAAAAATAATAAAATTACCAAGCTGGAAAGTGATTTGTTGAAAACTTTAAAGATATTTAGCTCCTTAAAGTCGCAAAATTTTACAGACGCTTGTACGGTGGGGGCACAAACTTGCCTCCCACGTGATACAACAAACGTCTTTAAATTTTCGCAAATTCCGGAGCTATATCTTTGCTCAATCAAAACGTATCACGTGGCAATGGCGGATTTTCCCTAACTGGTCTATGTAAAAAGTTGAAAAACCGTGGAAGAGTCTATTCTCCTTGAGAAGGGCGCGCAGACGTATGTGCTCTACCTGCAACTTGTGTAGTGAATGTCCATATTTTTCTCTCTAAATTGAGAGGTTTTTTGATTATCCAAAAAGAAATTGAATCAGATGTGGCTTTTAGTTTCCCTGAAAGAGCAAGGTTTGTCTCCATGATCGATCGTGTACTGTTATCAGATAAGTCAGTGGAGATGCCCAGTTTCCGAAGTAAGTCAGGTACGTGGGTTTCTTATGACTGCTATCACATGTATACTTAGTTTCCCTGAATGAGCAAGGTTTGTCTCCATGATCGATCGTGTACTGTTATCATGTAAGTCATTGGCGATGTCCAGTTTCCGAAGTAAGTCAGGTACTTGGGTTTCTTATGACTGCTATCACATGTATACTGGAACTTCCTAATAACAACTGCTCTCGCTTCAAATCATTCGAAGGTTTGTAAATTTGCTTGATATTAAAAAAGAAGTGATAATAACAGGACAATAGCGCAAAGCTTCCTTCCGATGCTCTGGTTACTGTAAAAGAGTCAAGTTATTTAATAAAATCACCGGCACTTTTAACAGTGATGATGGAACTGCTAACAAACTTGAAGACCTTAAAGTATTTGTTACGAAGTTGACGTCTCGACGGGAAGCATTGAACCAAACATCCCTATTTTGAGTATCACTCTAGAACAAAAACAAATCAAAATACAAAACACTGAAGGGATCCGAATCGAAGCAAAAAAAGAGAATATGAGGTAGTGTACTCAATCAACATAGTAGGCTTCTATGTTCTCTTGTAAAACAGAATAATACAAACGCTTCTCGTGTTTTGTTCCCCTCTATATATCAAAACCTTTGAAAAAGGAGGAAATCAGATGTGAGGTATCACAGGGATCAATTTTAGGACCTCTATTGTTTTTAATCTTCTATTGTTTTTTTTAAATCTTATTTGCTGATGATACTAACTTATTTATGTCACATAAAAATTTAAATGCATTGATTGTACAGATGAACAGAGAACTGAAGGTAAGGTGAATAAACTCTCCTTATATTGAGTATTTCCAAAAATGTTATTTCTGACGAATGAGCCCGCGAAGAAGGCAGAAATAAATATTTTGACGGCACGAGATACAACAGGGCCTGGGTACTAGGCCGGGTGCACCATGGGTAGCCATATCGGGGGTATATAAGGCTGCGTATATCACGTGTTCGTCATCTAGGCTTACGAACCAACCTCTCCTTAGTTTTTCTTAACGTTCTTATCGGCTCTTTCTTGCGTTATATCCGTCAGCAAAGACGAAGTGTCCGATCTCATTGAGGAGAATAACAAACAGTTAATGGACTCGTTTAAAGTTTTGTTAACAGAAACCGTTGGTCAAATCAAGCGCGCTAATGAATATTTGGCCGAGCAGCAGATAAAGGAAATTAAGAAACTAAAGTATAACGAACCACGTAAGTTCAAGAAGAAGGCCAACGAAGACCAGTTTTAAAGGATCCACAGTGCAGAATTTTGCGGCCGTGTAGCGTACTAGGCCCGTAAGAAGAAGAAGACCACTCAAAAACAGATCCTCGCCAGTGGGAACGCCGGCGTCCACCTCAACTTCACATATGCAACCCCAGCCTCATGTCAAACGTTCCTGTTTTTCGCCTTCTCGACGACCCAGTGTCGGGACCTGTTTTGCCCGTGGAAAGCGTTCCTGTTACCCGACGATGGACAAGCCAAACATCCCAAACTCCTAAATGGCTAGATGAAGGACAACAATCAGGTGCAGTCTATTCTACTTTAGTACTGAATTTTTTAGGCGTCAAGCCGTAATATGGATCAGGATTGTCTCGATATTTTACCAGTTTCTTCTGACGTTCACCCCGCTAGTTTTGGGCGCGGTTTTGAGCTCTGAGTGTACCGTTGATATTTCTATTCTGCCTTCAGTTTGGGGAAGATTTTTCACAGTTATCTATTTCTGGCATACTTTGCTAGTTTCTCTGTTCATTTTGAATGTTTTTAGTCTTAGTTACAAATTCCCTTCTTCCAGCTTTTTATGTTTTTTTTTCACAAATCCTACAATGCCTCTGCACGTGTTTACAGTTCTTTTTGTCCGTAGCTGTTAATGAGCTTCCCAGCCTCAACCTCCTTTTAAAAATTTTTGCATTCCAATATCATTTACCCGCTTTCTGTTTGACGCGCCGCTCCGGCTAACAAAGGTTAATCCTGGATTTTAGGCACGTTTGCACTTTGCACACGAAGACTTGTCCATGGCCACTTATATTTTTGATATGGGTTTTTATTTATTCATATTTTACCTCTAGTGCGATTATCGTAATTTTCCCTGATCACCAGTATTTCCTTGCGTTCACCTGGGATCTCGGCACCTGGATTTTTAGGTATTTTCTACTTTGCGCGCTTCCCTTTGGGTTCTTGCTAGCCTCCCTCAAACCGCTTCAGAAACCTAGAAGAAGCCAAGGTATCCCTATTGCCATTTTTCTTGACTATGGTCTAGCTATAGGAGGAGGAGCCTATCGCGTTCAGGCCTTAATTTACAGTTTGTGGGCTGTCCATGCCGATTTGCTTTAGTCTCGCTTTGTTCGAATTCCTATGAGGAAAAGTCCCTGTGGGAGCCCGTTCGAATTTTCTAGTGGCTTCGCGTTCATCTCAACATATCACTCTTGATGGAAGTATTAGAGCCACGGATGAACGCATTGCTAAATCGTCTCGCGACCTGGCGGCTTTGTCTTCATATTGGTCGTCCACCACAGTCCACGTTCTACGCGTCCCGTGTGTAGCCGCCTATAGTATTTCCCTCTCGAGTAGCGTGGGATCCGTCGCGTGCATTATGGCCCGATTTCTTTTCTCAGTTGTTTACTCAGCTGTTTCCTGGGATAGCTAGGTTTTCCTGTCCGTTTATTCTTTGTATGAAATTGAATTTTGGTCTAACAATGTTAGCCTCTCTACGGCAAAATTTATCGAGGGGTTCCAGTTCGCTTCCAGTGAGAGTAAGCTC